GCAGCAGATGAGCTATCGTCTCTGACTTTACATCTACAAGGTGGACTGACAAGGTAGGAGTGTCTAATAGAGTGGACAGTGAGTGGACACAGTGTTTAAAAACTCCAGCAGCCCTGCTGTGTCTGATCCACTCAGACCAGCACAACACACACTAACACACCACCACCACGTCAGTGTTACTGCAGTGCTGAGAATGACCCACCACCCAAATAGTGCCTGCTCTGTGAGGGTCCATGGGGGTCCTGACCACTGAAGAACAGGGTAAAAGGGGGCTAACAAAGTATCAGAGAAACAGATGGACTACAGTCTGTAACTGTAGAACTACAAAGTGCACCTATATAGTAAGTGGAGCTGATCAAATGGACAATGAGCGTAGAAACAAGGAGCTGGTCAGAATGTTATGTCTGATCGGTGTGTATATTAATGCCTTGTTATGATTAATAACATAGTTATTACAGAAATAAAACCCCAAAAATCTGTTATTCTTTTAAAACCTATAAATGCAAATGCATATAAAGCATTCTAGAGAGAAACTCTTAAAAGATACTCTGTATATGATGAACAAAAACTAGCTCGTGCTTTAATTTCCTAGAGTTTGGACAAAAACAATTCCAAAAAGTCTTTCCTGGGTTTGTGCTGCTGCATCTAATGTGTTTTTTCTTCACCAATTCAGCCAGCTGGGTGTCCTTCAGCATGACTGTGTGCTCCTAACAATAACACATCTGCAATACGTTTGGTGTTTCTGCTGCAGGCCCGGTCCACCCACCTGATATAATGACAGTGCCGGACCACCTGCTTTCTGCTTGATCACCGAAGGCCATTCACTCTCCACCATCTCACCCTCCAGCTACAATATTCATCAGCTTCTCAGTCTCTCCTGCACTCGGGGGGTATCATTAATTTATTATTCTACCATCCGGCTCCTGGAGAACCCCTGCCTGCCTGTGCACTCGCCCTTCTAGCACATCTAATAGCCACACTTTCTTTAAACTTCTACTCAGAGCTAATAACGAGATAAAGCTGGTTTCCTCCGCTCTGTTTTCAGCGGCGAGCCCCTTTAGACTCGTTACAATCATGATAATTTCTTTATCTGTTTTAAAAAGCCATAGAAAGTCATGCAGCTCATTAAATCTCAGCTTTGGAGTGAAAGTGGGCGACCATGTCAGGTCACAACTCACCATGATGAAGAGGAAAATTCAACTCAGCTGTGAGAATCCATATTTAAAACCCTGTGGGGGGGAAATGTGCAATCAGATGTTAATTGAAAGCGATAGATTGGGTAAAAAATTAATATATGGATTTTCCCTTTATGCAAAATGTAGCTGATCTGCCATCTGTCTGGTACTTCTTTAGCTTTAGCACTGGAGCTATGAGGCTAATGTAGTTAACAAGCTTGTACCCCTCCAATTAGCACTGTGCTAACTGCATGCCTAAGGCACAACTCAAGCAGTGTAGAGTCACTAATAGACTTGATTATGTTTCTGATAATTCGGTCCATAAACATTTTTTTACAATAATAATAACTGTAATTTATAAAGGTAAAGTAGTTTAAATGCCCTTTGTACTGTAAACACTTAAAAAGATGGCTCTTCAAGGGTTCTTTAATAAAGACAAATGGTTTGGAGTTCTATATAGAACCATTTCTGGTTTCTATGGTTCTTTGCATGTGAAATTGTCCCATAGCTTCATGGAGAATGTGTTGTATATATGGTTCTATACAGATGTCTTTAGAAAAGGGTTCTTCTGTTGTTACAAACTTGACATCATAATAATAGCAGAACCATTTTTGGTGCTATATAGGACCACATAAACCATTCTTCATCAATCTGAAGAACCATATAAGGATGCAAATGGTTCTTTGAGTGTTTGTGGTTCTATATAGAACTCATGCTTCCATGGTTCTAAACTTTGTTCCAATCTTGACATCATAATAATAGCAATGATAGCAGAACCGTTTTGGTGCTATATAGAATCACATAACCATTCTTCATCAATCTGAAGAACCATTTAAGAATGCAAATGATTCTTTGAGTCTCCATGGTTCTATGTAGAACTCATGGCTCTAAACTGAAACATTCCCCTGACTAAAGAACCCATAAAGAACCATCCTTTTTTAAGTGTGTAGGCTATTATATAAAAACAGAGGCACATTCAGAGTCACAGACCCATTTCTGCCTCCACTGAATTCTTGTTGAATCCTATAATAGAACATTATTGGTCAGATTCCTCGAATGCTTTGGCTCAAAAGGCCAGAGAGTCATTATATATTTATTCGCTTATTTATATTCTTGTTGTTGAGACATCCAGTATTCTGTCTTACAGCTGAGCGAGAAGGTCTGAGACGCTTCATCCAACACAGAAATGTCACTATAGCATAAAAACACCATACATCCACATCAGGAACCACATAATCAAGTCTTTCAGAGATCATTTAATGCAGTTCCACTGTTTTTCAACTTTTCTGCATAAAGATACACCGGTCAGGCATAACATTATTATCCTTGTTTCTACGCTCATTGTCCATTTTATCAGCTCCACTTACTATATAGGTGCACTTTGTAGTTCTACAGTTACAGACTGTAGTCCATCTGTTTCTCTGATACTTTGTTAGCCCCCTTTTACCCTGTTCTTCAGTGGTCAGGACCCCCTTGGACCCTCACAGAGCAGGTACTATTTGGGTGGTGGGTCATTCTCAGCACTGCAGTAACGCTGACGTGGTGGTGGTGTGTTAGTGTGTGTTGCGCTGGTCTGAGTGGATCAGACACAGCAGTGCTGCTGGAGTTTTTAAACACCTCAGTGTCACTGCTGGACTGAGAATAGTCCACCAACCAAAATATCCAGCCAACAGCGTCCTGTGGGCAGCGTCCTGTGGGCAGCGTCCTGTGACCACTGATGAAGGACTACAGGATGACCAACACAAACTGTGCAGCAGCAGATGAGCTATCGTCTCTGACTTTACATCTACAAGGTGGACCGACAAGGTAGGAGTGTCTAATAGAGTGGACAGTGAGTGGACACAGTGTTTAAAAACTCCAGCAGCACTGCTGTGTCTGATCCACTTGTACCAGCACAACACACACTAACACACCACCACCACGTCAGTGTTACTGCTGTGCTGAGAATGATCCACCACCCAAATAGTACCTGCTCTGTGAGGGGCCATGGGGGTCCTGACCACTGAAGAACAGGGTAAAAGGGGGCTAACAAAGTATCAGAGAAACAGATGGACTACAGTCTGTAACTGTAGAACTACAAAGTGCACCTATATAGTAAGTGGAGCTGAAAAAATGGACAATGAGCACAAAAACAAGGAGGTGGTCATAATGTTATGCCTGATCGGTGTATTAATAAATATAAAATTTGATAAATATAAACTTAGTCACAATAGTTCACAGTATCGGTGACCAGATATTCAAAACATTTAATGCCCTAAAAGCAAAATCTGATTTTTTTTTTTAAGCAAAATGGTCACGAACAACCATAAAAAAATAAACGCTAAGAATAACCATAAAAAACAATAGTTTGGAGATAAGATTTTATGTATTTTGTATTTTATGTAAAATGTATTTTTTAAATCCATTCATGGTGGAGGGACACATATGGGATGTTGCGAGGCAAAATAGTCCCCAAAGAAAAATTATTTTCAGATTTCCCACTATTTTCCATCATCAACATTCCATATAAGCTCAGAAGACTCGTGTAGGTTCACTGGTGGTTCTGGATAGTAAATAAAATGTCTATATTTGTGTTGTAGTCATGGCGACCCCTGGTTCCTATCACCACCACTGTAAAGACATCTGAACCGTTTCACACCAAACCGCTCTCCATGTTGGAATTGCTCAGAATTTTTAAATAGGTGTAATTCCTTGTGATAGAAGGCATTTTAATTACTTCACCTTTATAAAGTACAATTGATGGTCCAAATTCTCTGATGAGAAAAGCGTTAAATAGAGGTGACTAATTGCTGTAATTGCTGAAGGTAAAGTGCAGATATGAGCAGTTTTGTGCTGCTGTGTTCCCTGTGTGGCCCCCAGCCTTCACTAATTATGTCCCAGATCATTTTGGAGGAAGCTGCCAAAGTATTAAACTGAGGGTGAGTACCAGATTATCCTCCACTCTGTCTGTATGAGCTCTGTTTTTACCCCACATTAGTTGATCAGCCAATGGTGGTGATAGGAACCAGGGGTCGCCATGACTACAACACAAATATAGACATTTTATTTACTATCCAAAACCACCAGTGAACCTACACACTTGTACCCCTCCAAATAGTGGAAAATCTGAAATAATACGTTTTCTTTGGGGACTATTTTGCCTCACAACACCCTGCATATTATGTATCCCTCCACCCTGAATGGAGTTTTAGGCCAAAATCATCTCTAAACTATCCTAAAACAGTCTTTCAGACATCAGGCAGTGAATTCATAACCATCTCATGTAGTAACTTTCTGTGAGGGAGCTTTTTAAGAGGTGGACGTCTGGTTCCTATCACCACCACTGTGAACAGTTCTGACTTGGTAAGTTTCTCTAGAATGGAGCGTTTCACACCAAACCACTCGGAACGACTTACATCTTAACCCTTTAATTATGGAGGAATTTTGAAAAATCTGTGAAGTTTCCCTTCCAACGGCACTGCAGGAAAAACAGTGGAAGGCACAAATCCATTTCAGCCTCCACAGAAGCCTGTAGGATCCTATAATAGAACATTATTGGGCAGACATCTCATGCCACGGCTCAAAAAGCCACAGGAGACATTATTTATTTATTCCCTTATTTATATTCCCATTGTCAAATATTGTCTCTCACGGCTGAGTGAGAAGGTCTAGGACGCTTCATTCAAGAGGAGAATTTCACTATAGCACAGCCACAAGCACAGCAGGGTCAAAACTACCCGAGCGTTCTCCGCACATCGCTTTACAGAAGATTAATAAGTGATAAAAACAGGATTACAGTACCTTGACCCATAAAAAACACTAAGAAAAGCTATGAGCTCATTTTATTACACATTTTTATTAACGTTCAATACATATATACACAGAACATAAGCTCTGAGCTCAGGCTTGGTTCACAGCAGCTCACTCGGGTTTACAGTCTTAAAAGTAAAGTAGCCAAAGGTTCTTTGGAGAAGAACCAATGTCGGTTCCCTAAATGGATGATTACAGAACTGTTTCTGTAAATGAGACGCACGAATGTCATAACACAATTATAAAGGATCAAGCTCTTCAACTGGCATAGAACCCTTACAGCACATTCTTCAAAATTGTTCTTCAAGGGTTCTTTACTAAAGGCAATGGTACTATAGATTTCTTTGCATGGCAAAACGGTTCTTCTCTATGACAAAAAAAACACAGCTCTACAAAGTTCTTCAAAGAACCCCTTTCAATGGTTCTACACAGCACCAAAAAAGGGTTCTACTACTGGTATGAGTCAAAGAACACTTTTTCAGCACTATGTAGAACGCTTTTTTTGCCAAGAGTGTATGCGGATGGTTCTTTAAACTTTAAAAACACTGCTCATCTCATCCACTGAAAGGTTCTTTAGGGAGCCTAAAGGGGTTCTGTAGCTTTGGTCCAAAGAACCCATTTAGCATCTGTATTCTTAAGCATGTAGTTTAAGGCAATCAGAACAAAAAAAAACAATAAAATGTTATTAAATTAAATTAAACCTCTCCAGGTTTGAGATCAATCAACTCCACCAGCCAACCATGAAGAAAACATGACTGGTTTGATACTTCACTGAAGGGCAGCATTCATAAGGCTGCATGACTCCTTCATAAGCCTTTCATGACTGACATAAACATTAATAAAGGCTTATTCCAGCAAGTGTCAGTGGTCATAAAGGCTGCTTAAGGTAAGTTTAATGATCATTACACATAAGAAGTCTCATGAGAACTGACACTCGTTGGAATAAGTCTTTATAAACGTTTATAAACATCCTTACAAAGGCCTTTCAGTAAAAGTGTCGGCGATATTTCAGGATAACAGATGCGAGTTCAAAAACGCAGCGTCAGCTGTGAAGCAGAACCAAAGCCCTGCTGACACAATGAAGACATCTAGATTAAACCTTCCAAAAGGTTTTGGAACAGCAACGATGCTGCCAAACTGTGCGAAAAAAACAAAAACAAAAATGTACAATATGTACGTATATCTTACATACTCTTAATTTAACACGCCCTCAATACTTTGACTGGGACTCGACTGTAAACTCACACAGCAGAACTCAAATGGTTAAAAACGGGAAACAAACAGTCCAAAAAAAACAGCCGAGGCTAAAGAGCACTGCGGGCTACAAGGCCAGCGGGAGGTGGAAGTCAGCACTGTTGAAGAGCAGGGGTCTCCGGGGGGGCGCGGGGTCTTTATCTGCTCTGTGTAGGAGTTTAAACAGTCCCAGTGCCAATGTTCATTGGAATGCCCATTATAATACACTCAGATACACCTGTGTAGAGAGAGAGAGAGAGAGAGAGAGAGAGAGAGAGAGAGAGAGAGAGAGAGAGAGAGGGATGAATAGTAACAATATACATAGCAATCTTCAGGGTCCAAGCACCATTAACTTCACTAAGCCCAATGAGGCTTTATGCACATGGGGCAATTCTGTATATAGATAAATGGTGGGAGGTCAGACTTTTGAGAAAGGCCTCTATTTATGTTTTCCTTCATTAGGGATCTCCAAAGACAACATATGCTGAACAACTAGTTCCCACTTTCAAATTATTGTTATTATTGGATACCGGTTTTTCCTCTACTTATGTTCCAATATGTTGTTGGATTTATAGAACTTAATGTGAAAATAATCCAGCCAACACAGACTGATTTATGTACTGTATCCACAGTGTGCAAACAAAGTCAACATATTTTTATAATTATTTATTTTAAACTCCTCATACTGTTTCTAAACCAGCTTTTGAGACAAATCATGGAAAATCCAAGGACTAGTTTGAAAATAGCAAGTTTTCAAAAAAGAAGCCTGTTGGCAAAATGGCAGTGAACCGCATGACATGACAAGACAAGTAAATTTGTTTTCCACAAAATAAACACAATAAGATGTATGCTTGGTTTTTATGAATAGCGCCCTCTATAGCCAATTGGTGTCAAAGTTAACAGAGAGCACCTACGTGAATATACCATTCATATTTCATGATGACTGGTCAATGCTAAGCCTGCCAAATGCCTGCTGAAATCATATTCTGTGATGCTGATTTCTTAGCTTCTTCTTTTCAAGACAAGTCAAGAGAAAATGTCACTAAAATAAAAAAAACTGGACATAATTTTCTGCTACTATTTTTTGCAGCTTTTTTTCCTAGCACTGATATTAAATGTAGAGTATATTTATCTTTTACAGTATTTTAATACTGTCAAGAGACAAACCATATATTTGACACATCTGCTAACTGAAACCTGCTCTTATCAGCGGTGTAAAATATATTAGGACAAGCTCTAAGACACTGTACTGCAATGCAGGCATGACGTGTTTAACATCTCATAAATTAGACGTCTTCTTTAGAACTAAGACATTTCAAATAATGTAACGTGAATGTAGGAATGAAAGATTAATAAGCTGCCTGGACAAAGAATTAGTCACCCTGCATGTTTAAGGTGGTAGTAACTTCATGCTCCTCCAGATGGCGCTGCACAAGGACGACTGGGCTACTACTGTGTGGACAGGAAATTCTCGTCAGGATTGTGGCCAAAAGACGAAACTGACGGACAGGGACCACCGACGAGTTTTACGGCTTGCGAATAAAAATCGTTTCGCTTCCAGGAAAGAATCGCTTCTGAAGTTAAAGCAGGTTCTTCACAACCAATTTCTGAAAGAACTCTCAGCAGGGAACCGCATACCATGAACACATGGAGCAGAGCGGCACGCAAGAGGCCTTTGCTCACTTCTGCTCACAAAGCTGCCCAGTTACAGTGGGTGAAGACACAAAAACTGGACTGTTCGTGACTGGAAACGTGTTATCTGGTCAGATGAATCTCGTTTCTGCCTGTATGTGAATGATGCTTGGCATCGTGTTCATCATAGAGCTCAGGAAGCCTTCAGTGAGGACTGCGTGCAGGTGTGGTTCAAACTGGATGAGCTCTGTGATGTTGGGCTGTTTTAATTATGCTGAAATAGGTTCTTTGGTTGAGATAACAGTAAACTTGAACAGTGCTGACTTTGAGCTGCTGGACAATGAGGTTTTGCCTTTTGCTCTTCATATTTCACAGGGCTGCAAATGTGACTGATTGTCATGATTCACACATCTGGACCGGCCCGCAAAATCCTCAGATTTGAATCCTCTTGAAAATCTGTGGGACGACCTGGAACAGCAAGTAAGACTCCAGGGAAGGTTCCATGAAATCTGGCCGAACCGCGCAGTTTTTCGATGCAAGAGTGGCTGAACATCGATGTCGCCTACATCCAGAAACTTGGCCAGTCCAGCCAAACCGTATCACAGCTGTTATTCGTGCTCGTGGAGGTTGCAGGTGACACATTTTTTGTCCGGTGAGCTTAATTTTTATATTGAAATTGCAATTTGAAAGACAATTTTAAAATCACAAGAGCTGCGATTTGAACTATAGCCTATGTTATCAACAATGTTCTCTTAGCAAGTTTTATGTGGGGAAATTTAACCTAAAACAGAAAACAACCACACACCCAGGTGAAGTGACCTCACAACCACAGCTAACTGGACATCTGGTGCGCGATGTTCCATGTTTTTTGTTCTTCCTGTACAAAATACAGACCTGGACCTCAATTTATGAAAGCAACTGCTATTTAAATCGAAATCGCAATGTTTGTCAGAAGAACTGCAACTAGGTAATTTGCCCAAACTGCTCAACCCTGTGTTTATGTGAGGTTGTTCAGTACCTTTGGGTGCGGTGGGGTGAGGGGGGTGGGGGTAAATCTGATTTCTTTTTGTCAATCTGTCATTTTAAAGTGACCTTTCTGCTCAAGCCGAGTCACAAAGAAAAGTCTCTACACTGGTACAATGCGACAGAAACAGACGACCTTAACATTTACAACACTGCCCAGTCCTGACAGCGTGACACGGTCGCTCATTCATTTTCAGTCATCCATTAAAACTCTTCACTGGACATTATTCACGCTTCATTTGAAACTCACCACACACAGAGTCTTTCTGTCCAAAATACGCCGCATCGAACAGATGATCCGCCGTCTTCTCAAACGACGCCAGCATCAGAACGCTCTCCTTCATCTTAGCCAGGCCGAAACGGGTGATACCCAGGATCTCCCCCTGGTGGCCAGAGAGGGGCAGTTAGATAACATACGAAGATTATAAGTGATTTGCCTGTCAATTATAACATCACAATTCAGTCTGATCATAAAGACGCCAAGACAAACTACCCTACAGCCTTCAGCAGTGGTAGGCAAGTTCATGCATGTGGGCATGTTGGTGTCTATGACGTTGCTCTGTCAGAGAATCTGGTGAAAAATTAATTTAATAACTTGCGATAAATTCGACTTTCGTAAAAAAAGAACATTAGCATTGTATGTACTATTAACTTTATATGTATTTTCCATCTGCGATGGACTGGCGACCTGTCCAGGGTGTATCCTGCCTTCCGCCCAATGACAGCTGGGATGGGCTCCAGCACCCCCCCGCGACCCAGAAGGATAAGCGGTTTAGATGATATGTGTGAGATGATGTGTGTGTATTATTTTCCATGTCCTGAGGCTGACGCTTCAGCATTTTCATTATTGACAGCAAAAAGACTGAAGGTCAGTACTTCCCCAAACTCCAGAGATCAAGTCAGAAATCTAGACATGATAATGGACTCTAACCTAACTTCAGTAGCCATATCCAAACAGTTACTAAATCTTTTAAGTCTTTTCTCATTTAAAAAACATAGCTAGGTTCAGAGTCCATGTCTTCATGACCAGCAGGCTGGACTACTGAGAGACCCTCAGGCAGCTGCAACTTATTCCAAATGCTGCAGCTAGAATGCTAACAAAGGACAAAGAGAACTGAGCACCTCATCCTCAAATCTCTCTAGGTGCTGCTCTTTTTAAAGTCTCTCAGTGGGCTCGGACAGAGCTATATTTCAGATTTGCTAGATTACAAACCCAGCAGATCTCTCATATCATCAGGTTCAGCTCAGTTATTGCAACCTAGAATAAGAATTACACAACGTGAGGCAGCCTTCAACTACTATGCCACTTACAGCTGGAATAAAATTCCTGAAAACATAAGGCTCCGTCCTCAGCCACCTTTATGCTCAATGACTGGCAAGATCACAACAAACTATCAAAAGTGGTGTTAGATATCAAATAATGATAAAAAGCCCTTTACCTGCCTGACGACTACGAGGTTGATGTTGTGCCCATTACAGAAAAAGTAATATGTATCCGCAAACTGCAGATAAAAAGGTACCTTAACAAAGTTCCAGCCACGCTGCCCCCTGGTGGACACTCACCTTATAGGACATGAGGTCGGCCAGCAGCATGACATGGCGGCGGTCGATGCTCATGCCGTGATTGACCATAGTGTACTGGATCTCATTAATGATGGTTGTCCGTGCAGCCTCGATGCCTAATGTCTTCTCCACCTGTTAAACAGAGACAACCCACACAATCAGCGTGGAGCCACCAGATCAGAGGCCGCAACCAAAATGTTAAGAAGAGCCATTTTATATCCATTTTACCATCTAGGCTGTAAATATGTCTCAGTATGTGCTGATGTGCTAGTATAGGATAAACAATATAATATAAACGAAAACGCTGACCTACTTTGCTCTGCTTTAATCTTTGGCTCAGCTATAGCTGCTTTTCTCACATCTCCGGCAGGAAACTTTCTCAAAAGTAGAACAGTTTCTTGTAAAATGTCTCTCAACATTCGATTTTTACGAGGCTGAAGTCGCTTCTCATTCGCCAGCTTCTTGTTTGAATTTTCCCGTTCCACCTTAAATGGTGACTGAGGCGCCAGAATGTAGCTGCTGCACCATTTAAGGTGGAACGGGACAACTGGAACAAGAAGCTGGTGGATAAGAAACTGACTTCAGCTTCATGACTTTTTAGTGTTTGACAGTTTCTAATTGCAGATTAAACGTATCAGGAAACCAGCTGGAGTGATTATAAATGCTATTAAGTCCATTCATCTGAACCATTTAACAGTGTGAAAGAAGCTGGAGAAGCTTTTTCAAAGATACAGTAGTGTGTAAAAGTTTGAACACCACCAGTCAAAAGACATTTTGTTGTAGTGTAAATAAAAGAGAACACACTTCTGCACATATTAATGCACAATTACTGTTCATTTGCTGAATTTAGCATATTGGGGAAAATAAATCACAAAATGTGGCCTGTGGCAAAGTATGGCACATTTTATTGTTTTTTTTTTTCAATATGTTAAATGAAGCAAATAAACAGTAATTATGCATTAAAATGAGCTGAATTTTTTGTAGAAGACGTGTTAACTTTTCATAAAACCAAATTACATGACGGATTATGAACGGGTCAAAATTAGATAATTGTTTTTAATGTTCTCTTGTTTATAATCTAAGCAATGACATCACTTATCAATGTATTTAAAATATATCTTAATTCTACATCAGTCAATAAAAGGTTCTCCTACTCACTGCTTATCTTTTTTTGTGATACCTTTGGAGTTTTTGAAGCCATAATCAATTGCATACGCTTGGTTCAACGCTAAAAATACTACTAGTAATGATGAACTAATATCTAGTAAAATACTAATAAATACTACTACTTATAATAATAATAACAATAATTTTAATTTGTATAGCATTTATCTCATACTGAAGACAGTGATACAGAAGCATTACATTCAAAACAAATACCTCTATAAATATCTAAAAATAGCTGTTTGTATTTATTTTATTTACTCAACCTTATGCAGGTCTACACACCTCATATGTGTTGTTGGATGTCGTTCGGTTGCCGTTGACACCGTGTGTTGCCATGACAGCGCGCAGGTTGTCTCCCTCCACCAGCAGTTTGAACTTCTGCCGGCCGCTCTGTTCATCAATGTGGATCACCGCGCGAGCGACCTCAGGAATGCCCTGAACAACCACCTACACAACATACACACATTATATTTCATATGAAGGTGTTTCTGGCTTGTGTGTGTATATGTGTGTATATATATACACATATATAAATAAATGAGTGATAAACAAAGCTGGACAAGACTGAAAAAAGGAGAGAGCAGTGGAGGCTATATATTTCAGAATCATTTTCACACAATCATCTCCAATCGAATGGTTTTTATAGGCAAGACAAGTTTATTTCTATAGCACCTTTCACACCCTGCTGTCATTCAAAGTGCTTTAAAAATGAGAAAATACAATCATTTAAAAAGTAAAAGTAAAGTGACATGATTAAAAGAACAGATTTAAAAGAGAAAATCACTACATTAGAAATCAAATTAGAAATTAAAGTGGGATAGTTAAAAAAATCTAATCAAAAATAAACAGGTTTTTCAATTTCAGGCCAGATTTAATGTGTCCAGTGTCGGGGCTCTTCTACTGCTCTCTGTCCACTGGGTCCATTTAAGAGCAGTGTAGTAGCGAAACGCTGCTTCTCCATGTTTAGTCTTCACCTTCGGCAGGACTAACTGACCAGTTCCTAATGATCTGAGAGTTCTGCTCAGCTCGTACTGCTGCAGCAGATCAGATAAATACGCTGCTCCTGAACCATTAAGACATTTATAGAGCAGGAACAGCTGCTTAAAGGCTATTCTGGAACAAACTGGTAGCCAGTGTAAGGGTTTGAGAATGGAGGGGGGGGGGTCGAGTTAGGAGACCATTACAGTGATCAATCCTGCAAGAAATGAAGGTGTGGATGAGGTTCTCCAGGTCTGCTTTAGTCAGAACATCTCTGACACTGCTGATGTTCTTAAGGTGATAAAAAGCTGCTTTAGTAACTGCTTTAACACGACTGATAAAACTAAGATTTATATCACCGAGAGCAGTTCTTTCAAACTTGAACAGAATATTCAATATTCATAATTCATAATCAGACTACTTATTGATGTCACATTTTGGAGAAGCCAGTGATATTCATGGAAAAAACCATACACTGTGCACAAGTCAGAGACCCCCTTTCATTTGTTTAATTTCCAGTCATAACAGCCATTAAGTACAATTCATTCAATTTTCAGTAAAAAAGTCAAAAACAAATATTTTACACAAAATTATTAGGAAGCCTCAATAACTACAAAACAAAAATCTAATCTCAGCTGTTCAGTGTTCAGTGAGTCACTCTTCACCTTTATTCCAGCTTCCATTCCTTTCAGGAGCCTCACTTTCAGTTCCTCAAAGAATCTGCAGACACACCTCCAAAGTTCAGTCTTAGAAGCTGGTTGATCATTTTCTGAAGTAATCAAACACATTCAGTGGTGTTGAGGTCTGGACTCTGGCGTGGTCAGTCCATCGTTCAGCTTCTTTGTTTGATGTGTCCGTCTCCTTTTCTCAGTGAGGTTCTTCTTGACAGCTACACATCCTTTCAGACCCACAGCGCTGAGTCGTCTTCTCACAGTGGAAGGATGGACAGAAACACCTGTGGATGTCTTCAGATCTGAAGCAGCTTGATTTTCTCCTCTCTCTCAGAGATGAAAGCTTTAAGTGCTGTTTATCTGATGGGGGCAGTTTTGGGGTCAACCAGGTCTTCCAGGTGGTTGTTAGGAGCCCCATTTTCTCTGTAGCTTTTAATCAGTTTTTGAAACTCTGTTTTTTCACTTATTTTCCTTTGATTTTCCTCCTTCCTTATGCAAGTGGATTATCTTATACCTGCTCTCTTCACAAACATCTCCTGTATGATTCACTTGTACTTAATGGCTGTTTTGAGTGGAAACGCAGTACCGCAGTACACAATGTACAGAGCAATTCTGAATGAACAGCATTCATCTTTCACACTGAAATGCAGCTCAGACCAGGGACACTTCTGGATGTTGACGTGTAAGTGTTGAGTGTTAAGTGTTCACCTTGGGCAGCTCCTGTTTGAGCCACTGGAGAACGTAGTACATGGAGCTTTTACTGTTCTCTCTGGGAGACACGCAGACCACCGCTTCACCATGGACCGCTATATCACCCGGCTTCACCCTCAGCTTCGACATACAGATAGAATACCGCACTGTCTCTGCGTTCACCTGAGAGAGAGAGAGAGAGAGAGAGAGAGATATAGTGAGGAGAGAGAGAGAGAGAGAGAGAGAGAGAGAGAGAAAGAGAAAGAGAGAGAGAAAGAGAGAAAGAGAAAGAGAGAAAGAGAGAAAGATAGTGAGGAGAGAGAGAGAGAGATAGTGAGGAGAGAGAGAGAGAGAGAGAGAGAGAGAGAGAGACCAGAGAGAGAGAGAGAGAAAGAGAGAAAGATAGTGAGGAGAGAGAGAAAGATAGTGAGGAGAGAGAGAGAAAGAAAGAGAGTGAGAGAGAGCGAGCAAGAGAGAAAGTGAGGAGAGAGAGAAAGATGGTGAAAGAGAGAGAAAGAAAGAAAGAAAGACAGTGAGGAGTGAGTGAGAGAGAGAGAGAGAGAAAGATAGTGAAAGACAGTGAGGAGAGAGAAACAGAGGGAGAGAGAAAAGAGATAGGGAGAGGGGGAGAGGGAGAGAGAGAGAGAGAGCAGTGAGAGCAGAGAGGGGGAGCGAGTACAGAGAGAGTGGGGACAGAGATGGAGGAATGAGAGAGAGACAAAGAGAGAGAGAACAGAGGTAGTGAGGAAAAAAGCAACAAACAGAATGAGTGCAAGAAAAGGGGAAAGAAAAACATCACATTCTGTCGCTTACGCGAAACAATACGACATCACTGAGAATAAAGGACAACTTTTCAGATAAAGCATAAGAGAGAAACATACGACTACAGAAAGACTACAGTCACACTGACATGAGGACTTTCACAAACACTCAGAAAACAGGTTCCTGTGAATGTAGCGGTGTAAAACAGGAGCAGCTGCAGCGAAATAAAGCCATTCAGACAGGTTAATAACAGACTACAGCTGTTAGACACACAGAGAGAGGGAGAGAGGGAGGGAGAGCGATAGAGAGAGAATATGAACGTATCTGTGTACAGTACCTCCAATCTGAGAAGGCGGATCCTCTCCAGTGAAAGCTTCACCAGAATGAAACAGTCATCAGGCAGAAACACTTCATCTATATACTCGGAAATCTGACCACACAGAGCAGAAACACATCAGTACAGCGAACATACCATCACTATACAACTCAATCAGCACAACATACCATCACTATACAACTCAATCAGCACAACATACCATCACTATACAACTCAGTCAGCACAACACAATTTACAGACTTTGTTAGCCCCCTTTTACCCTGTTCTTCAGTGGTCAGGACCCCCATGGACCCTCACAGAGCAGGTACTATTTGGGTGGTGGATCATTCTCAGCACTGCAGTAACACTGATGTGGTGCTGCTGGAGTTTTTAAACACTGTGTCCACTCACTGTCCACTCTATTAGACACTCCTATCTTGTCAGTCCACCTTGTAGACAGCCACCTTGTCTGCTGCTGCACAGTTTGTGTTGGTCATCCTCTAGTCCTTCATCAGTGGTCACAGGACGCTGCCCACAGGACGCTGTTGGCTGGATATTTTTGGTTGGTGGACTATTCTCAGTCCAGCAGTGACACTGAGGTGTTTAAAAACTCCAGCAGCACTGCTGTGTCTGATCCACTCGCACCAGCGCAGCACACACTAACACACCACCACCACGTCAGTGTTACTGCAGTGCTGAGAATGACCCACCACCCAAATAGTACCTGCTCTGTGAGGGTCCATGGGGGTCCTGACCACTGAAGAACAGGGTAAAAGGGGGCTAACAAAGTATCAGAGAAACAGATGGACTACAGTCTGTAACTGTAGAACTACAAAGTGCACCTATATAGTAAGTGGAGCTGATAAAATGGACAGTGAGTGTAGAAACAAGGAGGTGGTCATAACGTTGTGTCTGATCCGTGTATAGTTATAGATGCTAAATGTAAAGGTTTTAACAAATAACAATTAAGTCTCTACTGAAGAACACTAGAATAATAGGACTGTAAATGTTGTACAGGGTTATATTACATTTTCACCAACTTAAGAGTTCATATGGTTTATACGAACACATTTTTCTTATATAAAATATTCAAATATAAATAAGTGCATATCACTGCTGTCGGAACAAAACCTCACATCTCCAAAATGGTAAATTTACAGGAGAAGGAAAAAACACACTTTACTTTTAATGTAAGTCAATGGAACCAGTCATTGTGGGTCATTTCTTTTGGTCCATTCATCATGAAATTTACAAAAAATGTAAAGGGCAACAGATATTTTCAAATTACATCAAAAACTGAAAAACAACAAAAAATGGAGATAAGAGGTTTTGTTCCAACAGCTAGAGATAGACATAAATCTCTATGGAAATGTTTCTGTGCAACACCACAGAGATGCTCATGCAACCAGGAGACAGAACGCAACAATGACAAGCAGCTGTTGTGAGTAAACTGCACCAACCGCAGAGAAGATGGTGGGAGAATGTTTAATACCCTGAGGGGATCACATCCCTCAGCCAAAGACCACAAAGTACATAAGTATGTGCATCTGAGGATCCGTTTGCACGCAGACGTTCCTCTGTATCAACACTTGGCGTCCGTATGAGATAATTGTTTATACCTAGCCATGTGACTGCTGGCCACTGCTGGACACATCTGAAATCTATTTGTAGTCAGGAACAGCGTAGGGATCTGGTCATTTCTCACCATCACTAAAAACTAATTACTGAGGTAATCGTTGTATCTGAGCTCTCTAGGCTTCCAGTGTAATCTGTGCCAGCCATTTCCTCACTGACCCAGACTGGACAGGCTGTTATGTGCCTCATGTCTTGTACAGAATGTTTACAGTAGCTGTCAAATTCAGCTGTGGCAGGCCATAAAGTAACCTCATAAACTTTACTTTGACTTAGCTTAGCGACATTAACGGTACCACCATGATACTCCTGACATTGTCAGATAGACTCAACAAACAGCTAAACCAAGACACTTCGCCATACTGCTCACCTCTATACAGTACATCTGTATATCTCTGCTCAAAGGGGCTCTAGGGGGCTGCCTACCTTTTGCACTGTGCAAAGACCACCCCTGGATTAGACTAGGTATTCCTGCAGTGGGGGGTGCTGGCATATAAAAGCAAATGAAAGAACATGTATGTCTGATATTCAGTATCAAAAGTGCTCCAGGGCTGAAAGTCGAGTGATTATTAATAAATTAATTAATATTGAACCTCGGATGATCAGGCACTCATTACTGCTGAACTCTGTGCCGTCACTCAGCAAAGTGCCTAACTGTGGACATAAAAGGACTGGAGAGAGAGAGAGAGAGAGAGAGAGAGAGAGAGAGAGTGAGAGAGTGTGTGTGTGTGTGTGTGTGTGTGTGTGTGTGTGTGTGTGTGTGTGTGTGTGTGTACCTCTCCCAGGAGCGTCTTCTCGATCCTTCCCTTCACCAGCCGAGCAAAATCAGCATCATTCTCCGTATCCAGGTGAGCAGTGATGATAGGAGTACTGAGGGAGAGAGAGAGAAAATAGATGAGAGAGAAGAGAAAAAGAGACAGAGAGTGACACAGAAAAGAACAATAAAAGAGTAGAGAGAAAGAGGAGATGCAGAATGATACAGAAAGAAAAAGAAAGAGCACAGAGAGCGAGAGATACAGAAGAGAAATGATGGTGAAAAACAGATAAATACAGAAAAGAAAAAAGAGAGAAGAGAGAGAGCGCAATGAAAATTGGAAAAGAAAGAGAAAGGAGGCAGAGAAGGAGAAAGAAGACCGAAAAGAAAAAGGGAGAGAATGGGGAGGAGAGAGAGAGCGGAACTCATTTGCATATATTAGTCTTGAAATACGACCATTTTGGTGGATAAGTATCTAGCTTTATTTTTATTGTTCCGTTATTGGTTTTGTGGCCAAATGGCAGGTAACCTCAGCGAGAACCTTCCTGATGTCCTCCAAAAGTGTTGCTGAACGTTCAGCCCCTCACTGAGAGACTGGGGGAATCTAAGGTCAGGTGGAGAGATGTGATTGTCTCACAGCCACATTCTCCAGAGCGAATGAAGCTAGTTTAGCATGGCGCCATCAGTCTAACACAGTTTCCACACAGCTGGTCACTGATGCACTTCAACTGAGTTTCTCAGAAGTAGAAGTTTTTATGAAACAGGTAGGTCACTGTGTGGTGAAGTGTTCAGACTCTCACCTGATGTTTTTGGATGCGTTGATGATCTCCTTGATACGGGGGACCCCCAGGGTGATGTTCATGGAGGCGACACCAGCGAAGTGGAACGTCTTCAGGGTCATCTGAGTGCCCGGCTCTCCGATACTCTGAGCACACAGAGCGCCGACGGCCGAGCCCGGCTCCATCTGGGCCCTGTTCAGCACAACAACACATCAAAACATCAACAAAGACAAAATCAACAGCTGTTACACCAACATCAAACATCAAAGACCAACAAAAACAAGAAACATACCACCAACAATACCTATACCAACAACAACAGCTACGCCAGCTGTGCCATCAACACTCCCAACACCTACATTACCTACATACCCAACACTGACACCACCAATACCTACACCAACACCTACATTACCTACATACCCAACACTGACACCACCAATACCTACACCAACATCTACATTAACTACGTCCCCAACACTGACACCACCAATACCTACACCAACTACACTACCAACACCTACATTAACTACGTCCCCAACACTGACACCACCAATACCTACACCAACTACACTACCAACACCTACATTAACTACATACCCAACACTGACACCACCAATACCTACACCAACTACACTACCAACACCTACATTAACTACGTCCCCAACACTGACACCACCAATACCTACACCAACTACACTACCAACACCTACATTAACTACGTCCCCAACACTGACACCACCAATACCTACACCAACTACACTACCAACACCTACATTAACTACGTCCCCAACACTGACACCACCAATACCTACACCAACTACACTACCAACACCTACATTAACTACGTCCCCAACACTGACACCACCAATACCTACACCAACTACACTACCAACACCTACATTAACTACATCCCCAACACTGACACCACCAATACCTACACCAACTACACTACCAACACCTACATTAACTACATCCCCAACACTGACACCACCAATACCTACACCAACTACACTACCAACACTTACATTAACTACGTCCCCAACACTGACACCACCAACAGCTACACCAACTACATCCCCAACACTGACACCACCAACAGCTATACCAACTACATCCCCAACACTGACACCACCAATACCTACACCAACATCTACATTAACTACGTCCCCAACACTGACACCACCAACAGCTACACCAACTACATCCCCAACACTGACATCACCAGTACCTACACCAACATCTACATTAACTACGTCCCCAACACTGACACCACCAACAGCTACACCAACTACATCCCCAACACTGACATCACCAATACCTACACCAACTACACTACCAACATTTACATTAACTACATACCCAACACTGACATCACCAATACCTACACCAACTACACTACCAACACCTACATTAACTACATACCCAACACTGACACCACCAATACCTACACCAACTACACTACCAACACCTACATTAACTACATACCCAACACTGACACCACCAATACCTATACCAACTACACTACCAACACCTACATTAACTACATACCCAACACTGACACCACCAATACCTACACCAACTACACTACCAACACCTACATTAACTACGTCCCCAACACTGACACCACCAATACCTACACCAACTACACTACCAACATCTACATTAACTACGTCCCCAACACTGACACCACCAATACCTACACCAACTACACTACCAACACCTACATTAACTACGTCCCCAACACTGACACCACCAATACCTACACCAACTACACTACCAACACCTACATTAACTACGTCCCCAACACTGACGCCACCAATACCTACACCAACTACACTACCAACACTTACATTAACTACATACCCAACACTGACACCACCAATACCTACACCAACTACACTACCAACACCTACATTAACTACGTCCCCAACACTGACACCACCAATACCTACACCAACTACACTACCAATACCCCCAGCTCCAACACCTACAACTACACCAAACAGCATATTACTCTACAATGCATAACAACAACCAAGTAGGAGAGTCGCAGCAGTTCCAGCCAACAGTGTCCAGCTCAGGTGTAAGATGTTGTAATAAGAAGCAACTTCTTATTACAACATTGGCTGTGGTCTTCGGCAGAACATCAACACTACATCAGTCCCTGAAAACGTGCTGAAAGCGTTTACGATCTACTATGCAATTATTAACAGAGCACACAAGCAGCTGTAGCTCTAGCCATAGTCAAAGGTTTGAGTGCTGACGGTAGCACAACACTGGCACAACTATTTACACATGCAATACTACTTTCCTCCAATAAAACCTGCTTAGAATTTGGATTTTGAACGTTGGAGGGAAGGAGGAGAAAAAGCTGAGACTTTTGATGGGAACTATAAGAGAATTTTAATTCACAGTTCTGTGTCACAGCCTCGCCAGTGACTCCGACTCCTGGTTGAGGCTTTAAGACTTTCGAGTGGTGTCTCATTCAAAATTCTTATCATTTTCTCACACCTGAGCTAGACACGGTTCTGGGAATTAGCACTGAGGATTCTCTCGTCAGCTTCCTCTGCAGTGAGCTATAATACTGTAGCAGCCTCTTCAACACTTATCTTCAAAGAATGTCATGGTTACATTAAGCTCCTTTACATTAGTTACATAACAGACATTATGGAGCTGGAAAAAACACAATCAAGGTGTAAGACATTTTTTCGGTATACAATAATCTAAAGGCTGTGTTTGGGGATTCAGTCAGCCTTTCAGATGCAAATAAATTCAATTAATTTCAATACAGATTTATCTTTATAGCGCTTTTTTCATTGAGAAATGTAGGTACAGCCCCCAGTAGGTGTTGCTGAGGGAAGCAGTGTCAGTGTTAAGGGACAGGAGCATATTTAACACACACAAACCCAATACCTCATGTATTTGTCCCTGCAGGTTTCCAGAAATTTCTCCAGCTGAGTTGGAGTGATCCTGTCCAGCTGGTACAGAACTTTAGGCTGCAACACAACAGCAAAGAGCTTGTTAGACACACGTACGCACAGCAGTGCTTCCCCTACCATTAAACAGAGTGAGTGAGCCACCCGGCCAAATACGAGTCCTGTCCGGCCAGCTTGGATGAAACACAGACATTAGGATATGGTGAACATTTGCTTCCAAGCATCTTATCCGGTTATGGTGGAGTGATACAGCAATGCAGGATAAATAAAAGAAAAAATTCACCGGTCACTCAGGTCTCAGGTTTGTGGCTACAATCACGAGTTTGTGGCCACAATAATAGAAACGTTATAATTAATAAACATGCTTCAATACCAAAAATCCTCAAAAAAGGCGTTGCATTAAAAATGCATTACAAACATTACTTTAAGAACATTGGTCCTCATTCTCCAATATCTTTCTAAGTTTGTTCTTAAATGCATTCTTGAAAAAAATGTCCTAAGAAAAAGTCTACGTCAGATTCGTGACGTGTTCTTAAGGTGCAGAACTGTTCTCACCTTTGTGCTCTTGAGTGTGTGTAGATTCTGTTCTTACCCGAGAACAAACCCCACATAAGAGAACACTGCTGAAATGTCAGAGTCTTTGTGAAAACTGGGTAAGTGGGTTTAAAGAAGAAGGTTCATGAATGAGGCCCAATGTCATTATTGTGACTGTGCCTGCCAAGCTGGTCCACCCAAACTAGGTTACATCATTAGGTTCTGTTTAGCCACTGCAGTGACAGCCTCTGTGTAGCATCATCGTATTTAGCGTATTTTATTTAAGACATTATTTCATAGAGAAATATTAACCAACTTCAGCGAACGGAACAGCATCCATAGCAGGGGGACCACCACTGTCACCACACCATCATAGCCGTTAGCGGAGTGCTCACAGTTTGTTAATTATGCCAAAACCTGATTTGATGTGATACAGCAGGGCGATATCAACAAGCTAATTCTCGGAAGGAACTATTCACACTAGTCTCACACATTTCTGCATAAATGTGTGTGAAAAGCTCTCGGGAACAGTATAAACTGTAAGGCAGTCGGTCACACAGGACTTCTTATATAAACTAAATCACAATAAATTGAAAAATTGCGCTTCTTAAAAATAAACGTGAAGAGAAAGTAAATTTGGTGGGTTTACATGTGAAGTGCATTTCAAAAATAATTTGGCATAATGATGCTACTACTACAACTGCGGCCCTGAACGCACTTTATGGCACCTGTTACTTCCAGTGTTGCCAGGTTGGTGTTACTGCATAACTGACGTCCCGCCTTTCCCGGCATGTGATTGGCTGTTCCAGTTGGCGCTGGCTATAAAAGGCGCTTAGTACTCGTCAACAGCTTGATTGAGATGTGCTTTGCTCCACTCCACTGGCAGGCCAGCTGTGTTAGCTGTGTCCTACAGGCACATGTCAGCCAGTGAAAACACATTTTTTCTGTTCTTTTGAAATAAAGGGGACGTAGGGATGGCCTGCCTTTTTCGTTTGACCAGCTGGATTTGTTTATGGTTAGAGTAGCAAGGGGAATTTTTGTAATTTTCCTTTCTCTTTTTTTTGTAGATTAGTTAGTTAATATTTTTTTTCTAGGATGTTCTGTTTGTTATTTTGGGCCTTGGGCCTCCGGGAAGTTATATTCCCTCCTTTTCCTTTTGTCTCATGTTTTATACCATCACTGTTGGCCGGCCAAGAATGACTTAAAGCACAGAGCGCTAAATAAATGAATAAATAAATAAATAAATAATAAATAAAACTCTGTAATTGATGTGTTTTTTCCCTGTTATTTATTATTTAGCCATTTCTCTTTGTTCTGGTCTGGCAGTCTCGCTTCCTCTTAGTTTCGTCTTACCCCTAGGAGATGTAAAACACCACATACACACAACAACACTGCAAAGCGGCCTACCAGCCTGAAAAATGAGGGGAAACACTGCACAGAATAATATATAGCATTTTGTAAATGTGTACAGCCACATGGACATATGAACATAACATACTGCAACATGTTATAGTTAGTTCATTTTATCATTACCACTATGTATTAGACCTGTGGGTAATAGACACGTCCACTGGTTTCACACATTATGGGAATGTTAGGGAGTTTCCTGACACACCCTGTAAAAAATACTGGAATATACATTGTATGTCCAAAAGTTTGTAGACAGCAGTGTTTTTTCTAAAATCAAGGGTATTAATGGGGAGTTTGTCGCCATTTATCTCATACTGGATCACTCCGACTCAACCTGGAGGTGCTGGATGGAGCTCCATCACTCCAGAAATCACAGTTCCACTGCTCCACAGCCCAATCCTGGGGGCTTTATAACCCTCTAGCCTACGTTTGGTATGGTGACTCCATTCTATTGCTCAATGCTTTTCTATGGATTTTATCCAAGCTGTGTTTGTCAGCAATGAGTGCACCTTACAGCAGATGAATTGATGAATTATATGGGCTGTGGGGATATTTTTGGATACACAATGTAAGATCTATGGCTGGCCCAAACAGCATTTTACAGGCTTCGAATACTCACTGGTATTTCCAAATGAGTACCTGAACACTTGTTCTAAAAAACACCCAACTAGTTGTCCAACTGATGGAACAGATAGGCTTCCATTTTAGTAGGAATGCAAGTCTATTTCACTTGCTAAACCAGCTTTAATTTATTTGCATTACTTTTATTTATTTTAAATATTTTCCATAGCAATAACTGTCCTATCTAAACGCCATTGCTGATAAAAAAGCATTTTAGGCTGTAATTTTTGAGGCTTGACAAAAAAAAGATTTCTGAATACTAAATAAAGAATCAAACACCAGTGTAACTAAACAGAAACCTGATTTTTTGGACCAGCCTAGTATTGTGAATATATTTTTGCATGGGAATATGTTTGCGACACGGTTACCTCTGTCGACCCGTTATCGTTTATGCCGTACTTGTCTCTGGTCTTCTTGATTTTCTCCGAGACTCCACTGATGAACTTCTTAATCTCCTGAGGTTTAATAAAGAAAAGAGAGGGACACATCAGTTAAATCCGCACATCAGAGAGGAAACAAACTCCATGCTAAACGTGCCGTTATCAAACCGCAGATCAGTCAAAATCCACACAATCAGAACATTTCTTCTCCGGTTCACTTCCTGATCCTATTGGACTCCATTTCCTCCTGGAGCCACACTTTTCCTCGAGTTCAATCAACGCTAACTCGTGCCAGTTCTTCCTCCGGCAGCCTCAACATCTCGTTAATCTGTCAGCTGAAACAAGGGTATAAAGTTCCAGCTCCGGACAGATCAGTGCCGAGATCCGGTCTGAGGATTTCAGGCGATGGTGGCCAATTAAACGAAAGCATCAGAAAGGAGGAGAAATCAGAAAGTCAGAAAAAAAACATGAAAGTGAAACATCCTGAAGAACAGTCACCACTGAGCGAGAGAGGAGCGTGACCAAAAGCCCGGCCTCACCACAGGAGACCATTAACCACAGCAGACACATTATTTATATCTCTGAGTCAGAAATAGGGCCATGCTTTTCAGGGAAAAGTGTTTTTAGTTTGCATTTCAGTCCAATTCAATCCATCCATTCTTCCTTAACACGCAGAGTGAGAGTGAAAACGAGTGTGTGACACAACACAGTGTGAATTAGTGCTATAAGACAGTGTGACATAATTATATTACCATTTCAAAAGGCACATATGAGGCAAAACCATGATTTGCTTTCCTTCAGGCAGAGTTTGATGTTTGTTAACACAGTGTGTTTACATGCACTTAGTAACACAATCATAATCAGACGCCTGCAGTTATCTGATTATTTAGGCTGGGCCCACACAATTTTTTTGCCCAATGTTAACCCCATTTTGGCCCTTGCGAAAAATTTTCACAATGTGAATCGATTTTCCAGGTCAGGAGGTCGATCAGAAGTGAATGATGGCGGATCTGTTAGTGTTAGTGCTCTGAAGTGATGAGAGACCCTCCGATATTATCAAGTTTAATATTTACGACTCAAAATGTTCACAAGTTCACAAGTGTGAAAAGGTCAGAGATTTACTCAATGAGTGATTCAAAGAGCCAATCAGAGATCTGGAAGAGCAGAGAAACAGGCGAAGAGCATAAACAGCGGAGTGGAGACAGAGGAGCTGCGTATAAAACAGGCAGATAAGAGGTGATATCGTGTTTATCATGGTTATAATGTTTATAATGTTGATCCAGTCCTCAGGTCACTCTCTTTACAGCTCAGTGGTCAGTTTGTAGTGAAATATTTCTCCAGCCTCTCACTGTAATATCAGAGTTTCTCAGCCACATTTTAATCCCCAGTTTATGCTTTAAAAGCACAAAGCCTACATTCACATTACAAGCCTCGCTGCTCAAATCCGATCTCTCTGACACGATGGTTCACACTCGTTTAGGTGACTCAAATCTGTCATTAATGTGATGAACCGGCGTCCTGAAATGACCCTCATGAGCTCATCCTACTCAGTAACGTCACGTGAATGAATCACGTTCATCATCAGCACAAACTAACGAGCAGAACGAGCTTCGCTGAGAAGATAATTAACCCTGATCAGCTCTCAGCTTCATTATTAGAGCGAGACGAAGGAGAAAAAGGTGAGATGAGCTGCTTTTCCACCGTTTACAGGCTTTAACTGCTGTTCGGCACTGTTGCCATGGTAACGCTGAATGATGGCGCACGCGCAGTGGAAGAAAGCACATGAATTCCGATCTGAGCATCACATTGAGGTCGCATGGCCACGAATCAGATATCCGATCTAGGACCACATATAAAAGTGGTTCAAGTTGGATTTGAAAAGATCAGATTTGCGGGTCACACAGCCCTGAAAACATCAGATCTGAGTCATATTAGGGCAAAAAATCAGATTTGTGCCACTTCAGCCTGGTAATGTGAATACAGCCAAACAGGTCCGGTTGTCTACTCTGAGCGCCCTCTCGACCTAAGAGACAAGAAATTCTGTGAAAAAAACGACGTTACGTTTGTGATGCTCTCTATTTTAGAAATCTGTTAAGATTTTAAAAGTCGTGTAGTGATGCGCAGCCTAAGTAGTCGTGTAAACAGCACACTGATTTCTTAGAACGAATTAAGGCCTAGAAATCTGATTAAGAAATCTGATAAAGAGGCTGGATTTGAGCTCAGTAATAGGGGTTTTTCAGTGCTGTAAACTCTCACTCTGATTTCTTTCGTTTCTCTCAGTCTGAGCATGTGTGAAAACAGAGCGCCGTCCCCGGAAACAGCGAGCAGCGTTTAACACCCGCGAGACGCAGCACAGCACTTTTGGAGCGACGCTGAAACCAAATATGTTTGACCAAATGAGGGATTTAAATTCATTCATATTTGCCGCTAAAGTGACTCGATGTTCCAAAAAAGCCACTCATGATGTTTAACATTACATTTACGTCACGTCTTCTTCTGTGAGTTTATTGGCTGGTTGTAAAGCAGAAATCTGATTAATGCCTGACTCACGGGCTACGTTTACACAGCGAGTAAAAGTGGCCCAAGTCTGATTTTCTCATCAAATCCGATTTTTTGTTTGGCTGTTCAGATTATCTTTTAAATGTGATCTGCATGCGACATCAGTCTGAACAGATCAGCTCCTAAACCGACCCGCATGCGCAAAAGGACAGTGCTTCACGTGGCTCATCCAAGGGTAAACAGTCATGACGGCCAGCGAACGCCAGTCGCTCCTGCAGCTTTCAGTTGCGTCTTCGCCAGCATCACAGGAGCGAGTATAAAGTTCCAGTGGTTGACAGCTGGACTCATCACCCACAGTGTGTTTGAGTTTACCGTAAAAAAAGGGCACGTTATTCGGCCACGGCCACTTCTTTGGTTCGTGTCCTCGGATTCCTTTAACTGTTCTCTGGCACTGCAGCCTCGGTCTCCTCTGGCCACGTTCGGCCGTTTCGTTTGAAACCTCTTCAAACATGGAGCGGCTTGATGAGTCTCTTCTAATGTTTTGGTACAGAATTATCAGCCTAAATGTTTATGAGTCTCAGCAGTGCAAAATTATGACGAATGTCGAGTTGGATTGACATAAAAGTCGCATGAATTCCAATCTGGCTGTTCAGACTGAGTCGCATTGCCGCAGATCGGATACGTATCGGATTTCAGTACCACATATGAAAGCGTCTCATATCGGAATTGAAAATGTCAGATTCAATGCATTTTTTGCTGTTCACACTGACACACAGACACACATCTGTGTCACATCTGAGGAAAAAGATCGGATTTGGGCCACTTTTACCTGCTGTGTAAATGTAGCCATGTAGACCCGGAGATTCCCCATCATCTGATTACTCAAGAGGATGTAAACACGCTGAACCAGTTACAGACAGTCTGATTTTCTGTAGTTATCAGATTATTAAGCGCATGTAAACTCATTCATTGCTAGTTTCAGTCCACACAGTCCCAAATAACCCGCGTCTGATCTAAACAGGCCTTTATTTAGATCAGACACGGGTTTGATCCTGTCATTGTTTTCATACTGTCATGAAAAACCAAATTTACATACATCCACCAGCGGTTTAGCCCTGACCATTAATACTGAAGTTATAAGGAGTGTTTCAGCCCTGACTGCTTTCTGAACAAGGCACAATGCATGACAGCCAATCAGAACAGAGCTCATTTACATACATTAGTCTTAAAAGCACAGTAACAAAAATCGGTTTACGGGATACAGAGTTTGGAAAATGGTCATGTAGATTTTTTTACCCCACACAAATGTTATGTCATAAATGAACATCAGGGGACAAACAAAACGCAGGAAAAGCATAAGATGAAATGCTGAAAGCACTGTCGGGTTTCCAGCTGGTACCGATGTTTTTGGGTTTTAGTGTAATGAGTAGAGAGACTTTTCCAGGCAGTAATAAGTACAGTAATCCTACTGCAAATGTAATTTGTAATAAATTACACAGCGCTAAGCTGCACCTAACACACAGCTGTCAGGAACAGTGTAAGATGTAATTGGGCAATCAGAGCGCTGTACAATCTCTGCAGCGTTAGTATGACATGCTGAATAACCTGAGCACAGCTACACAAACACACACACACACTCATGCACCTGGACACACACAGACACACACACACACACACACACACACACTCATGCACCTGGACACACACAGACACACACACACACACACACACACACACACACACACATGCTAACCTTCTACCTTCATATACTTCTGAGAGCCAGTGTCAGTCAAAGCCTTCAAAATCAGAAAAACAGTGATGAGGAACAGAACCTTCATCATTCACATAGTCACTGATTTAACTGGACCTTCACTGGTCCTGCTGCTGCTCTGGTTCTGCTTTGGACACGTTTTGAGTGATGCTCACTCTGCTCCTCTAATGCAATCACGCTCTGAAGGCCTTTAAGCCAGATTCACCTGAACTCGCTCTAAATACACAGAAGTGCTGATTTAAGGTTATACAACTGAAATAAGTGATGTAAATGGCTTTACCTAAACAAACGTGTGTCTGATCTAAATGATCCCTTCTGGAGAAATGAGCGTCTGATCTAGGGTGTCCCAATCTAAATCATTAAGTAAAGTAAAGTAAAGTATGTCTGTTCTAAATGGTCCCACCCGGAGAAAGGTGTAACTAATGGAGTCTGATCTAGAAAAAGGTGTGTCTAACCTAAATGGAATCATTTGGAGAAGGTGGACTTGCTCTAAATGGTTCCACCTGGAGAAAGGCACACCTGAATTAAATGAACTGAGTGGGAGGAGGGTGCGTCTGATCTAAATGGTTACACTTGGAGAAAAGTGTGTCTCATCTAAATGGCCTCACCTATATTAAGGTGCATCTGATCTAAATGGTCTCACCTAAATTAAAGTGTCTGATCTAAATGGTCTCACCTGGAGAAAGGTGTGTCTGATCTAAATGGCCTCACCTAAATTAAGGTGCATCTGATCTAAATGGCCTCACCTAAATTAAGGTGCATCTGATCTAAATGGCCTCACCTAAATTAAGGTGCATCTGATCTAAATGGCCTCACCTAAATTAAAGTGCATCTGATCTAAATGGCCTCACCTTTTTTACATTGAAACAAAAAATAAGTCAGAAGTGCAGACTCAAACCTGTCAATGCAGAATGTAAATCAAATTAGCTTTGTCAATACTTATGCAAATTTATACAACAGTTAGTTCTGGCCACTCTGCTGAGACGCCGTTGCTAAGCAACAACTCTGACAGCTGTAGGAGACGCTCAGGCCATTTGAACGTTTTTACTTCTTACTTTGCCACAAACAGAAAATGGACACTTTTAAGATCACATTTGACCGACAGCCGATTTGGTCAGACTCTGAAGTTGAGACGGCACTAAACTCCCAAACTGTCATCACCACTGAGCAGCTTTTCAGTCGGCAGCTGAGACAGAAGAACAGCTGAACAACCTGGAATCAGCCAGAAATGAACCCAACACCATTCGCCAAACTAGATGGGCTGTAAGATGCTTTACAGACTGGCTGGAACAAAACAACATTAATACTGATCTGGCAAAAACTGACAAAACTGAGCTAAACTTGATATTGCGGCAGTTTTATGGCTCAGTCTGATTTGGTCAGACTCTGAAGATCAGACTACACGTTTGGCGAATGGTATTGGGTTCATTTCTGGCTGATTCCAGGTTGTTTAGCTGTTCTTCTGTCACAGCTGCCGACTGAAAAGCTGCTCAGTGGTGATGACAGTTTGGGAATTTAGTGTGAGGAGCTGGAGAACGAACTGCCGGCTGTGCAGCGAGTGGGCGGAGCTCGTTACTCTGACGCAGCAACAAGCTGCTTGTTAAGGAACCATAATTTGGTGAAGGAACTGCGAACATTAAAACATATTAAACGCCGCGTTCACGGCCCAGTTTATTAATTTATTACTTTATTTATTTAACTGTTGTATTAAAGCAATAGACACTCGAGGAGTGTGTTATCGTGAATACTCCCTCTCGTGTTCTATTGCTTAAATATTTAGATAGTAGGCCTACAGCAAAGCCCAAACAATAACTCTAAACGTCTGAGGGAACAGTCTCCGCTTGTTTTATGACTTTTTTTCCATTCTTTTATTTTTAAAGAATGGCTGAAGGAACAAGGACACTGTCTGAAAGGGCAGTCGGATTATGTGATCATTATCTATTACGGCACAACAGCTTCAACGCTAAAGCGCTCCACTGTCACCTTCAGTGGAGCTGCTGTTTACTTAAAGTGTCTTTTGTCTTGTTTCTTCTGAAGACTGAATTCATTGTTCTCTATTCTGTGAACTCTGTCTTCATTCAGTCAGCATCTATACTGCTGACTGTCTGACAAATGCTTATGGAGCCATATACACTACATAACGTCTGTTCCTTCATAGTGGAACAGAAGAACGATGATTACGCTGTAATGAGTGTCTTTTCCTTAAAGCCACCTGTGTTTTGCAGTGACGGCCTGTCGTTTTAAACAAACGACCTGAGTGTCTCATTTAAACTGATTCATCCCGTCTCACCCAAAATATGCTGGTACGTTTATTTAAGGGAACTGTTACGCAGAAATATTTCAATCTAATCTGAATTGTTCACCTGGAGTAGGATGCGTCTGATCTAAACGGCCTTAACTAGTGAAAACGTGTGTTTGATCTAAATGGTCTCACCTGCAGAAGATTTCTGAAAGTGGACTCATTTGGTCTCATTCTAAATAAACACTGACACTAATTTAGGTGTATCTCACCTGAGTGGACTCACCTGAACTCACTCCAAAAAGGACATCTCAAAAAGGGAGGGCTGATCTAAGAGAACTCACCGGGAGAAAAGTCTGTTTGATCTACATGGACTCACCTGAAGAACAGTGTCTGATTTAAAAGGACTCACCTGGAGAAAGGTGTCTGATCTAAATTGAATGGTCTGGTGAAAGGTCTTTGATCTAAATGGAATCACCTCGAAAAAGGTGTCTGATCTAAATGGCCTCATCTGGAAAAGGTGTCTGACCTAAAAGGACTCATCTGGAGAAAAGTCTGTCTGATCTACATGGACTCACGTGGAGAAAGGTGTCTGATCTACATGGACTCACCTGGAGGAAAAAGTCTGTTTGATCTAAACAGAATTACCTAGAGAAAGGTGTCTGATCTAAATGGAAGTACCTGGTAAAAGGTGTCTGATCTAAATGGAATCACCTGGAGAAAGGTGTCTGAACTAAAGGATTCGCCTAGAGAAAGGTGTCTGATCTAAATAAAATCACCTGGAGAAAGGTGTCTGACCTACATGGACTCACCTGGGAAAAGGTATCTGATCTAAATGGAATCACCTGGAGAAAGGTGTCTGAACTAAAGGATTCGCCTAGAGAAAGGTGTCTGATCTAAATAAAATCACCTGGAGAAAGGTGTCTGATCTAAATGGAAGTACCTGGTAAAAGGTGTCTGATCTAAATGGAATCACCTGGAGAAAGGTGTCTGATCTAAATGGAAGTACCTGGTAAAAGGTGTCTGATCTAAATGGAATCACCTGGAGAAAGGTGTCTGAACTAAAGGATTCGCCTAGAGAAAGGTGTCTGATCTAAATAAAATCACCTGGAGAAAGGTGTCTGACCTACATGGACTCACCTGGGAAAAGGTATCTGATCTACATTGACTTACCTGGGGAAAGGTATTTGAACTACATGGACACACCTGGGGAAAGGTATCTGATCTAAATGGACTCACTTGGACAAAGGTGTCTAATCTAAACGGAATCACCTGGTAAAAGGTGTCTGATCTAAACGGACGCACCTGGAGAAAGGTGTCCCTGCAGCATGCAAAGTCGCTCCTCTTCATGATGGAGTCTGCTGTCATCACCAACTCGTTCTTACTCAGAGCAGGTTCAGTAGGACACGTGTAGACCGCCTGAGAGAGAGAGAGAGAGAGAGAGAGAGAGAGAGAGAGAGAGAGAGAGAGAGAGAGAGAGAGGAAAAAGAGGAATGACGTTGTATAAATATGCTGTAACACCAGTGACGGTGACTCCAGTGACATTCTGGTTAAAACTGAGGATTCTGTAAATCGGCTGACTCGTTGGCTGATCAGGTGACCTTGTGCAAATATTTAAAATCAGTAATAAAAATGATATATTTGTCATTATTTTGACAAAATTTTAATTACCCAGCCATTAAAGCACAAAACACCGGTGACACACAGAAGTTATGAGCTGCCTGATAAACAAAACTATTAATAAATGAATGAAATATAGTGAGCGAGTCTGACTCGCCTTCTCATGCCTTGAGCTGCTTCCTCTCTGATGAGCCTCGACCCAAAGAAGCAGTTTAACAGAGCTGAAAACACTGTGTTAAAATGTAAAATAAGAGTCCTGATAACACCAGTGACCAAAATCTCTGTGACAAATGAATTTTTAAAAATAATATACATAATTTTTAAACGTAGTAAAACGTTAATGAAATGAAAAGTAAACATGAATCTGTTTTATACAAATTCCGAAGCTAAACCTCTTAAATATTGTTTTATATTAAAAATGGTTTCTCAAATGTTGAAAGTTGGTTTAGTGATGAGCTGTTTTACAGATGCGGAGCGAATATGAAACAATGAAAAAAGAAAAATCAGAGAATCATGAAGGAAAAGTGTTATTTAATCTCAGCTCAACTGTGTAAATGTACATACTGACTTTTGGAGCTGTGCCTGATATTTTAAGCATCTTTAAGCCCTGAAACCTTTGTGACATGGTTTCCCCTCCAAATGGAGAACGACCCACATAAACAGACCTTCAAGCTACACTTTGGCCTGTCGACACAATTTTCTCTTTAACCCAAAAGCGTTTAATCAGCCAAGACTGTGAATTTCCCCACTGTTTGACTAATAAAGGATTATCTTAAGGCATGTTTGGGGTCTGCTACACCTTTATCTATAAAAACAGACAAAATTATCGGCTGAATTGAGGCTCTAATATGGCTGCGACAACCGTTTAAGCTATGCTGACATTCTTTAGTCCATGTTTATAGATAACAGAGTGTCATACAGAGTTGAAACACAAAGTCTACTAGTGATTACTATACAACTCCACACGCTTTGAGGGAAGTATGTGATTCCACTTATTAACTCATAGCCTCATAACAGCTAAGAAATAAACAAAATGTGTCTTGGATGACCGACTACATTTGGGGCAAAGGGGTATGTAAATTAGATTTCTCACCAAACTGCCACTTTAAACCAGAAATGACCAGGCTTAACAAACGACCCCTGGGTCCTCTTTATGGATTCAGAGCGGAAGCTTCCTGTTAAGTGCATCCCTAAAACTCAGACGCCCGGTAATTTATTGTCCAAGCACGTTCCGTCCTCAAAATCAAGCTCAGTCAGTGATGCATGATAAGCAGCGGCGACACAGCACTCTTATCAGATACACCGCGCCTGCCAAGTCACTATCCCCCAGTTCCAGCCTGTCAGGCGTGTTTAACATGGAGATGAGTGGGGAATTACAAACAGTGACAGCTGGAGGTAGTTCATTTCACACCCCGTCCTGGAGAAGACGCGCTTACATTGGCACTCAAGACAGACGTGTCAAAACGAATGCAAACACATAGTTCAAATGATCTGGCAGTTCCATTAAACTCCGACGACGCCAAGTCCCAAACAGCTCAGTCAGAGCCACGATCAGGAGTTCTTTAACCACAAAAGTGGCGCTGAAGTTTCCAAAACACTCAGTTATGGGTTTATGATTCACTGCAAAGGCAAAAGCATCCAGACAGCCTTTCTAATCAGTGGATTTAGCTACTTTTGAGCTCCATCATACATTTTTATGATGACCCGGCGTGACGGACTGAACACTTCAGACTCGCTGGAGCAATGAAGCTCCAGTGGGATATCCTCTGGGAGAGGCTGGAGTGATGAAGCTCCACTGAACACCTCTGGGATGAGATGGAGTGAGGAAGCTCCACCCACCGCTTTTGGAAGGATTTGTAGTGATGAAAAACATCCTTTTAAACTCCTCTGGGATAAGAAGGAGTGATGAACCTTAACATCTCTGAAACGAGCTGGAATGTTGAAGCTCAACTGAACTCCCTTGAGATGAGTTGAATTAATGGAACGTCACACCATTAAATACTTTGAACTGGACCAATGATGTGCCATGAAATTTCTTTGAGAGGAACTGTCAAACTGAACCACTAAAAAGGGTCATATTTACAAAATTATAATAAATTTATAAAAAAATTATACATATATATATATATATATATATATATATATATATATATATATATATATGTATATATAAACAGTTAGTTACGGCCATGCAAGCTGAAGACTGAAGCAATTCGCACATCTTTACTTCTTACTTTGCCACAAACAGAAAACGGACACTTTTAAGATCACATCTGACCGACAGCCGATTTGGTCAGACTCTGAAGATGAGACGACACTAAATTCCCAAACTGTCTTCACCACTGAGCAGCTTTTCAGTCGGCAGCTGTGACAGAAGAACAGCTGAACAACCTGGAATCAGCCAGAAATGAACCCAACACCATTCGCCAAACTAAATGGGCTGTAAGATGCTTTACAGACTGACTGGAACAAAACAACATTAATACTGATCTGGCAAAAACTGACAAAACTGAGCCGAACTTGATATTGCGGCAGTTTTATGGCTCAGTCTGATTTGGTCAGACTCTGAAGATCAGACTACACAGTTTGGGAATTTAGTGTAAGGAGCTCGAGAACGAACTGCCGGCTGTGCAGCGAGTGAGCGGAGTTCGTTACTCTGATGTACTCGATATATATATATATATATATATATATATATATATATATATATATATATATATAGACACACACACAAACACAAAAATCGGATTTGATGAAAGGCTGTGCAAACGTGGCCTTTGAGACAAGTTAAAGTGATAAACCTTTAACTCTTTTTTTGGAATGAGGGAGCTCCACTGAACTCATCTGGGATGAGTTGGAGGAATGAAGCTCCACTGTCATATATATTGCCATACAGCTTATCTGGCTGTTATTGATAAAAACTAAAACTCTTGTTTTGTATTTCTGAACAAAGTAATAAGTTTTGCACTTCAGAACAAACTTTGATTTCCAAAGAGAACTTCGCAGCACGAAAGTCTATTATATTCAAAAATCAATGGCACATTTACTCAATGTAATCAAAAAATCTCATTAAAAGATCCCCCCGTTGTGGCATTAAAGCATGATTTTTATACCCCACTAATCTCCATTCGTTAGTACCTATATTAGCATTTTGAGCGAGCGCTCTCTTTATGTGACCCTCCATTGAATATGTCCTCTATTCAAAGATTAGACTTAATCTGTTTCCAGGAAACCAGCCAAAAGGAGTTCAGTCACTCTTACTCTGAGAGAAAAGCAGACGTAAGCAGAACTCCAGCCGGCTGCTGACACTGGAGTCACCTTCAGCACTCTGGATAGTGTAGTGTAGTTAAATGTAATTGAGGAAAAAATTATTTTGTTGTTAGTGTTGTGATATTCGCAGCATTATAGCACTAGTGTAGAGATGTGTGTATGCAGGCTTATAAAGGTGCGCTATGCACTAATTGCAGACAACAGGGGTTCAATTGCATACACACAGTTTATATACCCTCCACAGAAAAGCGCTGACCAATAGAATGGGACGCTCTGGAGCAGCCACTCATGAGCCTAAGGTCACCATGGCCAATGCCAAGCGTGGGCTAAAGGGGTATAAAGCCCCCCCAGCACTGAGCTGTGGAGCAGTGGAGCTGTGTTCTCTGGAGTGATGGAGCTCCATCCAATACCTTTGGGATGAGCTGGAGTGATCCAGAACTGACCATCCAACATCAGCACCTGACCTCACTACTGCTCAATCAAATCCTCACAGCAATGGTCCAACATCTAGTGCAAAGCCTTCCCAGAAGAGTAGAGGCTGTTACTGCAGCAAAGGGGGATAAACTTCCTATTCCTGGAAGTTCTCGTTGCAGGGTGATGCTGCGTCCGCTAAGGTAATAACAATAACAACGATGGTGAGTAGAGCGTGTACAGCTCACTCAAGTGTTCGAGCTTGAGGCGAAAACAGCCTCATCTCAGTTTCAGTGGTTTGTCAGCTGATGATGAGCAGCGGAAAACGAGTTTGTGCAGTTAATAAACGAAGTAATAAAGGAGTCGTACGGAGTAAAAGATCCTCTGTGACTAACATTAACGTGCAGTTTGTGGTTTAAAGTCGCTGCTTCAGCCGCTTTCAGAGGAACAGTTTTCATTTCCTCCCTCAAAAGCCGTCAGTATCAGAGAGCGAGAGCTCAGAGGGGAGCAGATGTTCGTTCACTGGAGTCGGTGTTTGTGTAAAACGTTTACAGTGGTGCTACAGAGCCTGACGACCCGGAGCGCCCCCTGCTGGCATGTGTGCGTCTTCAGCTTTTTGCCAGCTACTTTATTGTTGGCAAGCTGCTTCAACATCTCCAGCCAACACGGCTAATCTAACGTTTTTGGTTACAGTTATTTTCACTGTTGATTTCTCTCTCTGTAGTCGTCAGCTGACGTTACTGTGCTCTGATAGCTGTGAAGGAATTTTTCCACAAAGCATTAATATCATTTATTTAGTCTGGACTCCCACATTGTTGTGTGTTTGGTTCTCCAATCATTCTGGACTCATCCTCAAATTTCAATCTCAGCAACTATGACAAAGGTTGAGTGACACACCTTTCTGTGGAGGCTGATGTGATACGAGCACCTGTAACTGATCGTAAGGCAGATTTAAAAGCAATACCGAAACGTTTTACCCAATGTTTACGCTCCTCCATTTCTTGTGAAAAGGCTTATTCTTCTGATAAATTTTAAAGAACTAAAATGTTATTATCAGCGTTATGACGGTTGCAGTATATTTAACTACGTTAATCCTTTTTATACACAACATTTAGACTAGTTTGTAATCCTTTTATTATGGCGTATGGCACAGTAAACCCACCTATCCAGACACTGCTAGCCCACTGCATTAAACATTAATGTTAATCATCACTGTGTGGACATACACCTACAATATCACTAGAAAACAAAGGCCTGTTTTGTGTTTCATTATGTTTGTAGCTGTGCTGAGAACACATTTGCATTCCATTAGCTGTGGACAAAACAGCTACTGTACGGTAAAAATGGAGTGTGGGGGTTCATTTGCATATCATAGTGTTTTTTCATTTGTATAGAATTAGTGGATCAGACACAGCAGGGCTGCTGGAGTTTTTAAACACTGTGTCCACTCACTGTCCACTCTATTAGACACTTCTACCTCGTCAGTCCACCTTGTAGATGTAAAGTCAGAGACGATAGCTCATCTGCTGCTGCACAGTTTGTGTTGGTCATCCTCTAGTCCTTCATCAGTGGTCACAGGATGCTGCCCACAGGACGCTGCCCACAAGACGTTGGCCGGATGTTTTTGGTTCTCGGTCCAGCAGTGACACTGAGGTGTTTAAAAACTCCAGCAGCACTGCTGTGTCTGATCCACTCAGACCAGCACAACACACACTAACACACCACCACCACGTCAGTGTTACTGCAGTGCTGAGAATGACCCACCACCCAAATAGTACCTGCTCTGTGGGGGTCCTGTGGGGGTCCTGACAACTGAAGAACAGGGTAACAAAGTATGCAGGGAAACAGATGGACTACAGTCTGTAACTGTAGAACTACGGAGTGAAACTATATGGTCAGTGCAGCTGATAAAAGTGGACAGTGAGTGAAGATAAGTGGACTTATAAAGCAGCTGGTCAGTGTATATACGCTACTGTTGAAACGAAATGAAGCAACAGAAACGCACCAAACGTACACAGATAATCATCAACTCGCTACTGAGTTAGGAGTTTGAGTAAGAATGGAAAATACTGTGGTGGGTTTTTAGCCGTTTTCAGACAAGATTAGTTTTAAGTCAAGTTATTCTTTATCAGTCCCACAACAGGGAAATTCACCTCCACGCTTAACCCATCTGTGCAGTGAAACACCACACACACTAGTGAACACACACACTAGGGGGCAGTGAGCACACTTGCCCGGAGTGGTGGGCAGCCCTATCCACGGCACCCGGGGAGCAGTTGGGGGTTAGTAGTAAGTAAGTAAGTAAAGTTTATTTATATAGCGCTTTTTACAACAGGTGTTGTCACAAAGCAGCTTTACAAGGAAATCAGCATCACAGAAAGAAATCCGGGTCTGAGCCCCCATGAGCGTCGCCAGTGGCGACAGTGGCAAGGAAAAACTCCCCAAGACAAACAGGAAGAAACCTTGAGAGGAACCAAGACTCAGAAGGGGAACCCATCCTCCTCTAGTCGACACCGGATAGCAAACATTGTTAGTATAAAGTATTATAGTACAAAAAAACATACTCACATAAGTCACATACTGTCTGCTGAGGGGATCGAACCGGTGATGATTTCAAATGTTATTCCGCGACTATGATCACTTTAAAAAGTAGTCCAAGCAGAAAACGACCCTCGACAGTGTAACGTCCCCCCACACTGGACTTTCACACTAACCGGAAATTTTGGAAAAAACCGCAAATCTGGCAACCCTGCATGACGGAGAAAGAGCTTGTGAATGAAACACAATGTGTGTGGGGGAAAAAAGTAGCATTTGTGGTTGTCGTAGCGACCCTCCTACGTTACGTCGCTGGCGCAGGACTATGAAAGCCTATGGTGCTGCGACATCTGTCGACTACAGTATTTAATTGCTGAGAAACACTTGTTGCCTAGACTGTAAATTGGCCTTAATCCCGTTCAAACAGGGCTCCAAACAAGAACCGGTAAAGATGCTGAAGAAGCTGAATGAGGCTGTGTGTGTGTGCAGGCTGGACGTGTGTGTGTGTGTGTGTACGCACTCTGATGTTGTCCAACACCCTCTTGAACTCCAGCGGCTCGTCTTTGCCCTCCATGGCCGCGGGGTCGAGGCCGTCTCCTCCGTAGATGAACTGGATGATGTCTCCAGTGGAGCTGCGGACGGTGAGGTCATACTGAGAGCACAGATCCTCCAGAGACTTCACCAGACGCCTCTGCACACGAGAGAGAGAGAGAGAGAGAGAGAGAGAGAGAGAGAGAGAGAGAGAGAGAGAGAGAGAGAGCATAACATTTATAGAATAACACACAGAGACTCTTTTACACGATATGACCAAAACAACACTGATTATGCTGCCAGATACTGTGATGGTGATACGCCTTTATATTAATACAATATTTCTGGGGACTCTTGAGCTGATTTCATTAATTCATGCTTGCAGTAAAGAAACTTCAACGGGAGAAAAACTTTACATAAAGAGGTAATTAATAAACAAGAAACAAGTTAAGGCTCCATATCGTCACTGTCAAAACAGAACCTTGTGTCTCCAAAATAGCAACTTTACAAGAGAAGTCAGGTGGTGCTGACATAATGCAGTGGCTGGACATCAAGAAGAAATCTGGAACCGAACCTGTGTTCTTCAAACCAGCTCACGAGATCCTACTAAGAACTCACTAAAACTACTTGAAGATAAGAAAGTCTTCTCATGTTTTCCTGTATTTATATTAATTTGTATTTACTCTAATGTTTTTACTGTATCACAGTCACTCCAGACAAACGGCTATAAAACATCAGTTTAGGTGCCTAAAGCTTCATCATATGAGAAGTACTGTAAAAATAATAAAGATATAATTTATTAAGATGAGTGAGAGAAATAGTGAAAGGAGCAGTGAAAGTGTGAGGCAAAGGGAGAAAGACAAAAAAGAAAGAGAACGAAAAAGAGAGAATGGAGAGAACGAAGAAGAGAGAATAAGCAGAAGAAATTGAGAGGGAGAGAGAGAGGGGAAAGACAGAGTCTTAAAGAATAAAATAAAAAATAGTGCAGGAAAGAAGGAAAGAGAAAGAAATAGAAATAAGAGAAGAAAAAAGAATGGGGAGGAAGAGAGAGAGGGAAGCGAGAAAAAGCAAAAGAATTGAGAGGGAGAGAAAGAGAGTGTGAGAGAGAGAGAGAGCGAGAGAGAAGAAAGACAGAAGGTGAGAGAGCAGAGAGGGAGAGAGAGAGAGAGAGAGAGAGAGAGAGAAGAAGAAGAAAGAAAAAAAATAGCGAAGGAAAGAAAGAGAAAGAGAGAGCAGCACGCAAAGGAGTGAGAGAGAGAGCTTTTAACCTGATGATAAACAGTTGGGGTTTTGTCATGATGTGGCCGAGAGGCCTGCTGCGCATGTGTTTATGTACCTGCATGTATCCGGTCTCTGCCGTTTTGACGGCCGTGTCCACCAGCCCCTCTCTGCCGGCCATAGTGTGGAAGAAAAACTCGGTGGGAGTCAAACCGGAATAAAAACTGTCTGCTACAAAACCTTTAGCAGCGGGGAGCTGGAACACACACACAATTTAGCATTACTGTACTTGTGAGTACTTCCATTCACTTCTGTATCACTAACTTTAACAGCAGGAACCAAAGAGAACCAAAGGAACCTCTTACGACTCTTAGGTTTTACCCAGAATGCTTTATTTGTTGTGAAAACATCACGTTTTTATTGTGAGGACGAGTAAAACATCGTTTCTACATAATGCTTTCAATCACGTTTGGTCCTCATAAAGTGCTAAAAACAAACACACAAACACAATGACACAGACACACAAATAGACAGACTTGCTGAGACACACTCAGTGACAGTTATAGAGACCGTAGCTCATCTGTGGATGTACAATTTGTGTTGGTCGTCCTCTAGTCCTTCATCAGCGGTCAGTTTCTGACCGCAGAGCCCCTTTTGGATGGATATTTTTGGGTGGACAGTCCACTCTAAACTTAGCACTGACACCACTGAGTCTGATGCACTCATAACAGCACCACACACACTACCATGTCAGCGTCACTGCTGTGCTGAAAATGGACCACCAGCTACATATCATCTGGAGAACAGCAGCCCTGTGGTCAGAAACTGACCAATGATGAATGAGGTAGAGGGGCTGATAAACTGTACAGCAACAGATGGACTACAGTCTGTAACTGAACACCTACATAGGGGAGCTATAAGCCAGGTGCTTCTAATAAAGTGACCAGTAAGTGGAAGTACAACGTAGGTGTTGCTAGTCCGTTGCTATGGCATCCCAGGTAGTTGCTAAGGTGCTGCAAGGCTATTGCTATGGCATCCCAGGCAGCTGCTAAGGTGTTGCTACGCTGTTGCTATGGTATCCCAGGTAGTTGCTAAGGTGTTGCTAGGCCGTTGCTATGGTATCCCAGGTGATTGCTAAGGTGCTGCTAGGCTATAGCTATGGTATCTCAGGTTGTTGCTAAGGTGCTGCTAGGCCATTGCTATGGTATCCCAGGTGAGTGCTAAGTTGCTGCTAGGTTTTGCTATGGTATCCCAGGTGATTGCTAAGGAGTTGCTAGGCTGTTGCTATGGTATCCCAGGTAGTTGCTAAGGTGCTGCTAGGCTATAGCTATGGTATCTCAGGTAGTTGCTAAGGTTCTGCAAGGCTATTGCTATGGTATCCCGGGTAGTCACTAAGGTGCTGCTAGGCTATTGCTATGGCATCCTAGGTGATTGCTAAGGTGTTGCTAGGCCGTTGCTATGGTATCCCAGGTGATTGCTAAGGTGCTGCTAGGCTATAGCTATGGTATCTCAGGTAGTTGCTAAGGTGTTGTTAGGCCGTTGCTATGGTATCCCAGGTGATTGCTAAGTTGCTGCTAGGTTATTGCTATGGTATCTCAGGTAGTTGCTAAGGTGTTGCTAGGCCGTTGCTATGGTATCCCAGGTGATTGCTAAGTTGCTGCTAGGCTATAGCTATGGTATCTCACGTAGTTGCTAAGGTGTTGCTAGGCCGTTGCTATGGTATCCCAGGTGATTGCTAAGTTGCTGCTAGGCTATAGCTACGGTATCTCAGGTAGTTGCTAAGGAGTTGCTAGGCCGTTGCTATGGTATCCCAGGTGATTGCTAAGGTGCTGCTAGGCTATAGCTATGGTATCTCACGTAGTTGCTAAGGTGTTGCTAGGCCGTTGCTATGGAATCCCAGGTGATTGCTAAGTTGCTGCTAGGTTATTGCTATGGTATCCCTGGTAGTTGCTAAGGTGTTGCTAGGCTATAGCTATGGTATCTCAGGTAGTTGCTAAGGTGTTGCTAGGCTGTTGCTATAGTATCTCTGACTCATCCCCGTTTCAGAAAGCTGAGCATTCCCCATTCATTCATTCCTTGTATGAATATCAAACTAGAAATCTGAGTAACATTTTCATGTAGTTAAATATGGTCAAACAGAACGTCCTTTTGATCACCTTCTCTCATCGTCTGTCTGAAACAAAGTACATTTTCATTTGTAGCAGAAATGAATCGACTGACTGAGTAAAACTGCCATTAATCTTTCTCCAGTATTTAAACGTTATTAAGCAAAAAAACTAAAGGCTTTATTCTGCGCTGCGCTCTCCTCTTCCTTACAGCCGCCGAACTCACTGTACCATGTGTGCGTTCTTACTTTAGAGTGTTTCTCGAAGTGCGGCAGCGAGCGGTTCTCAAAACCGTCCGGAACACGAGAACCGCTGATGGCCTGCTGACCCACACACGCTATCATCTGAGAAATATTAATGAAGGAACCTACAGAGAGAGGGAGAGAGAAAGAGAGCATAATTAATTAGTGTCAGTTCTCTTGTCCTCTGCTGACCCAACACGTCCTGGTCAGCAGGAAGACAAATGAGCAGCACAGAGAATAAAGGACAGAACAGAAACAGAGAGAGAATAATGAACAGAGCCAGACGAGACGAGGTGTTCCGGAGCGGGAGCAGGCCGTGGTCCGAGTCCCAAACCCATCAGCCTTTTGGACAGGGAACAGAGGTAGGACACTATCTGGCCACTCCAGATAACACCGTTACCATGGAAACGCATATGCTTCAGGGCTGGGACGGTCAAGGCGGTTTTTGTCTGTGACTCTGTGTGTGTGTGTGCAGAAGCTGTCAAAAAGTTTGGACGCCCTAATTAAAGAGTTTTTGTTTATTTTTACTGTTTTATTTTCCGTACAGCAGCGCAGGCAACTCAAATACAGCACATATCACAGGCCCAGCGCAGTTTTTCCGTCTTATTCAAAATGTTATATTTGCAAGAAGTATGTAATTATCATTCACTGGGCACTGCAGAGTACATCAAATGACCTCTACATTATTTATTTAATGTATACTGCCCCCTAACCACTGTTCAGGAATTTACACTTTATTTGGAGTGATCTCAGACCCTCACAGGGAACTCTTAACTGACTATAGTGTATTATACTCCGGTCAGGCATAACATCCCCTTGTTTCTACACTCACTGTCCATTTTATCAGCTCCACTTACTATATAGGTGCACTTTGTAGTTCTACAGTTACAGACTGTAGTCCATCTGTTTCTCTGATACTTTGTTAGCCCCCTTTTACCCTGTTCTTGAGTGGTCAGGACCCCCATGGACCCTCACAGAGCAGGTACTATTTGGGTGGTGGGTCATTCTCAGCACTGCAGTAACACTGACGTGGTGGTGGTGTGTTAGTGTGTGTTGTGCTGGTACGAGTGGATCAAAGGCAGCAGTGCTGCTGGAGTTTTTAAACACCTCAGTGTCACTGCTGGACTGAGAATCGTCCACCAACCAAAAATATCCAGACAACAGCGTCCTGTGGGCAGCGTCCTGTGACCACTGATGAAGGACTAGAGGATGACCAACACAAACTGTGCAGCAGCAGATGAGCTATCGTCTCTGACTTTAAATTAATAAATTATTCTAACATGCTCGTCCTGTACAACCTCACAGCCGTCAAGTAATTAGAATAATAATATTTTGCATAAATAAAAAAATGATTTTAATGAGTTTAATTAGTTACTTCTCACGACTTGACTTGCACGTGTGCTCAACTGACTCCTGAGTCGCGAGTCACTTGTGACTCAGACCCGCTCATAATGGGCTCAAGTGACTCGTGACTCAGACCCTCACATAACTGACTCGCAATTCAGACTCACGCTTAACCGACTCACTATTCAAACCTGCACTAAACTGACTCGCAATTTGGAAAGTGCTACATGCAGTAAATGTGGTGTTGCAAAGAAAGACTAGCATTAGCTAATTTAGCTTCAGCTGTCAGCTAATCTAGTTGAAGTTTTAGCCTCTAATTTAAGCACCATCTTTACTGCGCGCAGCACGTTCTGTCCATCAAACTTATTTTAAGATAATTCTCTACTAATGACTCAAGACTCGACTCAAACTCACATGAATCAACTTTTGTAGCCTCTCTAAAGGCCTACAAAACAAATAAATATGTATTTAATTCAAAAAATTAATTAATTAATTTAAAAAGCTCCTAATGGTGATGCAGGTTTGTTGTAACAGTAGGCATCACTGAGTGCGTTTACTCAATAATCCGATCATCATCGGATTTCTGCAGATTATTTGATTATTCAAATGGTCATACAAACAGCACACTCTGATTTCTTAGATCAGAGTAAGGTCTAAAAATCAGATAAAGAGGCAGCATTTTAGCTCAGTAATCAGATTTCTCAGTGAATGTGAACTCTTACTCTGATTTCTTCCGGATTTCTCAGTCTGAGCATGTGCGGAAACAGACTGCAGTGCCGGAAATAAGCGAGTAGCATTGTTGTGAGACGCGGCAAAACACTTTTCATAAGTGACTCGCGACTCAGACCCTCATATAACTGACTCGCAATTCGGACTCACACCTCAGACCTGCGTATAACTGACTCATAATTCGGACTCGCACTTAACTGACTCACGACTCAGACCTGCGCATAACTGACTCGTAATTTGGACCCCCCGCTTAACTGACTCATGACTCAGACCTGCACATAACTGCCTTGCAACTCAGACCCACACAGAACTGACTCACAATACGGACTCATGCTTGACTGACTCGCAACTCAGAGCTGCACGTAACTGACTCACAATTCAAACCCACGCTAAACTGACTCACAATGCAGACTCACGCTTAACTGATCTCTCGACTCAGACCCACGCATAACTGACTTGCAATTCGGACTCACGCTTAACTGACCTCGCAACACAGACCCACACATAACTGACTCGGAATTCGGACTCACGCTTAAGTGGCTCGCAACTCAGAGCTGTGCATAACTGACCTCGCATCACAGACCCACGCATAACTGACTTCAGATTCGCGCTTAACTGACTCAAGATTCAAACCCGTGCTAAACTGATTCACAATGCAGACTCGCGCTTAACTGACCTCATGACTCAGACCCGCATATAACTGTGAACTCTTACTCTGATTTCTTTCAGATGTGCAGAAACTGACTGCAGTACCGGAAAATAAGCGAACAGCGTCGCCACAAGACGCAGCAAAACACTTTTGGAGTGACGCTGAAAACAAACACATGCTTGACGAAATAAAGGATGTAAATATTCTTCATCTTCTAGATGATGTATGTTCATATTTTCATTGGCTGGTTAGAAAGCAGAAATCCAATTACTGTGCGACTCATGTAGACCCAGAGTTTCCCCATTATCTGATTAAGGGCATGTAAACACATTGATCTGACAACTGATAAAATCAGATTTTCTGCAGCTGCCAGATTATTAAATGCATGTAAACAATCTTATTGTTTCACACATTTTACACACAACGAGAATAATCACCATGTTTTGAGCACTTTTTCAGGTTATTAGTTCAGAACAGATTGGCTGTTGAGCCGTGCAGATGTGAGATGTAATTTGCAGTCGTTTAGCTGAATGATTAGGTTGCTCACTCTTCAGGAGTGACCCAGAGGAGAAAAATACGTTTTTCTTGTCCACCTGGTGGGAATGAGCTTCTATAATAATAATAAAAGAGAAGTAGACGATGGATAATGCTTTAGTAGGACAGCAGTAGTAATTATGACAACGATAATTTTTATTTAGAGAGAACTTTTCAAAAGTGCTTTACAGTCAAGTGATAAAGCTCAACAGTAACAGAAGAAATTCTGAGTATTCAATTAAAATCATAAAAGGACGAAAGATCAAATTAAAAAGAAAAACACCAAAGAGACGTAGAGTCAAATGAGATGTTTATTCAACTGTCTAATAAAAGCTGAACTGAGCTCCACAGTTTAGAAGCAGAATAACTGAAAGAGTCTCTCCAGGTTTTCAGTGTTTTACTGAAGGTGTTCAGAAGTTCAGTATCTGCAGATCTAAGATCATAAACAGACAGACGTTCAAGAGCTTTAAGCTCATTTAGAGCTTTAAAAACCAGCAGCAGAGCTTTAAAATCTCTCGTAATTGCATTTCATCAGCACAGCTCTGAAAATAGAAATGTTTCGTAATGACATCACCGAAAAGTAACACATACAAAAAGAAAAGCAAAAGGCCCTAAAACTAAACCTTTTGGGACTCGACAAGAAATGTAATTTTATTTATTTTTTTGGAGATTAAATGCCCCTTACTCCAGGTGAGCCCATTTAGATTGGATGCGCTATATTCCAGAAAAGGCTGTTTAGATCAGATACACCTTTTGCCAGCTGAGGCCATTTAGATCAGGTGCACCTTTCTCCAGATAAACCATGTTTGTCAGATGCATTTATCTCCTAGTGGGAGCATTTCCTTTACTAGGACACCCTACTCCAGGTGATTTTACACTTAGATCAGACGCTTGTTTCTCCAGGAGGGACCGTTTAGATCAGACACACCTTAATTCAGACGAGACGATTTAGATCAGACGCACCTTAATTTAGGTGAGACGTAGAGTTGTAATGAAGCTCTGAGTTAAAGAGCTGCGTTTTCAGATGTTTATTAAAAGTGAGCTCTGAGCTCGACTGTCTGATAAAAGCTGAACTGAGCTCCACAGTTTAGAAGCAGAACAACTGAAAGAGTCTAGTTTAGATCTAGTCTAGAGTTTAGATCAGACGCACCTTAATTCAGGCAAGGGCATTTAGATCAGATGCACCTTAATTCAGGCGAGAGCATTTAGATCAGATACACCTTAATTCAGGCGAGGGCATTTAGATCAGACGCACCTTAATTCAGGCGAGACCATTTAGATCAGACGCACCTTAATTCAGGCGAGACCATTTAGATCAGACGCACCTTAATTCAGGCGAGACGATTTAGATCAGACGCACCTTAATTCAGGTGAGACTGTTTAGATCAGACACACCTTAATTTAGGCGAGACGATTTAGATCAGACGCACTTTAATTCAGGCGAGACCATTTAGATCAGACACACTTTAATTCAGGCGAGACCATTTAGATCAGACGCACCTTAATTCAGGCGAGACTGTTTAGATGAGACGCACCTTAATTTAGGTGAGCCGTAGAGTTTTAATGAAGCGCTGAGTTAAAGAGCTGCGTTTTCAGATGTTTATTAAAAGTGAGCTCTGAGCTCGACTGTCTGATAAAAGCTGAACTGAGCTCCACAGTTTAGAAGCAGAACAACTGAAAGAGTCTAGTTTAGATCTAGTCTAGAGTTTAGATCAGACGCACCTTAATTCAGGCGAGACCATTTAGATCAGACGCACCTTAATTTATGTGAGGCCATTTAGATCAGGCACATCTTAATTTAGGCAAGACCGTATAGATCTGACGCACCTTAATTCAGGCTAGATGATTTAGATCAGATGCACCTTAATTTCAGTTGAGACCATTTACATCAGACGCACCTTAATTTAGGCAAGACCATTTAGATCAGATGCACCTTAATTCAGGCGAGACCATTTAGATCAGACGAACCTTAATTCAGGCGAGACCATTTAGATCAGATGCACCTTAAATTAGGCGAGACTGTTTAAATGAGACGCACCTTAATTTAGGTGAGACCATTTAGATCAGACACACCGTGATTCAGGCTAGACCATTTAGATCTGACACACCTTAATTCAGGCGAAACCATTTAGATCTGATGCACCTTAACTTTAAGCGAGACTGTTTAGATGAGACACACCTTGATTCAGGCGAGAGCATTTAAACCAGACGCACCTTCGTTTAGGCGTGACCATCTAGATCAGATGCACCTTAATTTGGGTGAGACCGTTTAGATGAGACGAACCTTAATTTAGGTGAGACCATTTAGGTCAGACATCTTAATTTAGGCGAAACCATTTAGATCAGATGCACCTTAATCCAGACGAGACCATTTAGATCAGACGCACCTTCTCCAGGTGATTCCATTTAGATTAGACGCAACTTTTTCGGGGTCAGACTACATTGGTGTCCTGGTGGGACCATTTACAACAGATGTACCTTACTTTAGTTGAAGATTTAGATCAGGACACCTGCAGGTTTAAGTTTCCTACTTCAGCTTTGGTACATGAAGTTAAAAGAGCCGAGCTTCTCATAAAGCAGCTTCCTCTGAGTTTTAGAACCGAGGATCAGTGAAGTACCTTTAGATCCGCAGAGGGCCATGATGAGTGGGCTGTTACTCTTATCCAGCTCCCGCAAACAGGCGCTGCCAGCGTGGTCTCTGATCACCGACAGCTCCTTCAGGATCAGCGCCTGCAAACGAGCACACAGCAGCTCAGTAACGTATGAAAAGCTCCTGATTCAGCGCTGCTGGCCGCCTGTGGTGGGTGACAGATGTTAGTGTTGATGAAGTGAACTCAGCTCTGCTCTGATTAAAGCTGCTCTGCATTCTGCTCCATCATTAGCCTTCATTACAGCCTCATTACACACTGCAGGAGCTGCTCACACTACGCTTCAAAACACAGCACTGCACCGCTCAAAAGGCGCTGCCGGCCGAATTTACAGTCCACTGAGCCAGCAAGGTCACCAACATGACGAGCATCCATGGACCAAAGGAGTGTCTGTGGAGTGTTTGTCCTTACAGGAGCAGGAAGCTTATAAAACAGGCTACCAGGTCATTTATCAGTGGACTTGTAGAACCTAATAGTGTAATAATTTCCCAATAACACAGCCCACTCACCCACACACTTGAAAAAGATGGTTCTTCAGGGGTTAATTAGTAAACAAAATGGTTCTATATAAACCATTTGGTCACAAAATCAAACATACACTATATGGACAAAAGTATTGGGACACACCTCTTTCACTGAATCCAGGTGTTTCATTCAGTCTCATTGCCACAGGGGTATAAAATCAAGCTCCTAGCCGTGCAGCCTGGCTTTACACACATTAGTGAAAGAATGGGTCGTTCTAAAGAGCTCACTGAATTCGAGCGTGGTGCTGTAACAGGATGCCACCGTTGCAACAAGTCTGTTTGTGAAATTTCTTCCCTCCAAGATTTTCCACCATCAACTGTGAGTGTATTATTGAAAAGTGTAAGCGTTCAGGAACCACAGCAGCTCAGCCATGAAGCGTCAGACCACAAAGTTACAGAGCGGGTCGCCGAGTGCTGAGGAGCATAGAGCACAAAAATCTCCAACACTCTGCTGATCAATAACTGCAGAGATCAAACCTCCTCTGGCATCAACATCAGCACAAAAACTGCGCCGGGAGCTCCATGGCATGAATTTCCATGGCCGAGCATGCCCTACATCACCAAGCTCAATGCCAAGCGTCGAATGGAGTGGTGTAAAACACCTCCACTGGACTCTGGAGCAGTGGAAACGTATTCTATGGAGTAATGAATCAGCTTCTCTATCTGTCAGTCTGATGGACGAGTCTGGGTTTGGTGAATGCCAGGAGAACGTTACCTGCCTGACTGCACTGTGCCAGCTGTAGAGTTTGGTGGAGGAGGGATGATGATATGGGGTTGTTTTTCAGGGGTTGGTCTAGAACCCTCAGTTCCAGTGAAGGGAAATATTAATGCTTCAGCAGAACCAAGACATTTTGGACAAGTATACACTTCCAACTCTGTGGGAACAGTTTGTGGAAGAACCTTTTCTGTTCCAGCATGACTGAGCCCCAGTGCACAAAGCAGCTCCGTAAGGTCAGGCTGGGTGAGTTTGGTGTGAAAGAACTTGACCGGCCCTCACAGAGCCCTAACCTCAACCCCATCAAACACCTTTGGGATGAACTAGATCGGAGATTGTGAGCCAGACCCTCTCGTCCAACATCAGTGTCTGACCTCACAAATGCTCTTCTGGATGAATGGGCAAAAATTCCCACAGACTCTCTCCAACATCTTGTAGAAGCTTCTCAGAAGAGTGGAAGCTGTTAGAGCTGCAAAGGGGGACCAACTCCATAATAATGCCTATGGATTTAGAATGGGAATCAGAAAAGCTCCTGTAGGTGTCCCAATACTTTTGTCCATATAATGTATTTACCTATATACACACACACACACACACACGTCTATTCAGCCTACAGTAGTTTAGTCCTACCCATTCACGCTAAAGTTACAAGGAGTGTTTCAGCCCAGATTTCTTTTTGAATGAGGCACAATACATGGCAGCCAATCAGAACAGAGCTCATTTACATATCAGTCTCAAAGGCACAGTAACAGAACCAGCCTGTTTAATTGTAAAAGCCATGAAAAAATGAAATATAACTGTTTTTGATACATAAAACCACTAAAATGTCACAGATTGAAAACTAAATACAAGAAAAATGTAGCACATCGGCCCCTTAAAATCAGGTAGTGTTTTCTTGACAACAGCACTACAGACTCAGGTTAAGGCCTCACAGGTCTGTGTGTGTGTGTGTGTGTGTGTGTGTGTGAGTCTGTGTGTATTACCTCCAGTGTCTCCTCAGCAGTGCAGCCTGGCTGTTGCTGTAGTTTTCCTGTGTTTAGAGCCTCGATGTATTCATCACATTTCTTATAGCCGGCGTCCAGCAGCTCCTGCTTGGCCTTCAGTAGGCCCTGACCAGGAGTTACATCACCAATACCAATGGAGAAACCACGGTTAGCTGAAACAAACACACACACAAAGATATTTAAAAAGGAACTCCACCAATTATGTAATAAAAATCTGCATAATTAAATGGTTAAAATGTAAACAGAGTCGTTCAGAGTGCTTTGGAGCAATAGTTCACAGTGGTGGTGATAGGAACCAGACGTCCACCTCTAAAAGCTCCCTCACAGAGAGTTACTACATGAAATGGTTATGAATTCACTGCCTGATGACTGAGACACTGTTTTATGATAGTTTTAAGAAGGTTTTGTCCTTAAATTCCATTCATGGCGGAGGGATACATAATATGAGGGCGCTGTGAGGCAAAATAGTCCCCAAAGAGAACTTATTATTTCAGATTTTCCACTATTTTCCCATCATCAACATTCCATATAAACTCAGAAGACTCATGTAGGTTCACTGGTGGTTCTGGATAGTAAATAAAATGTCTATATTTGTGTTGTAGTCATGGCGACCCCTGGTTCCTATCACCACCACTGTAAAGACATCTGAACCGTTTCACACCAAACCACTCTGAATCACTGTTTACATCTCACACACTGAATTATGCAGAAAGTAAACAGATTTAATTTAATGAAATACTCATCAGCCAATCCAAGCTCCTTAATGTATTAACAGAATTTCAGCATAAATTATTTAGTATAAATCAGAACCACTAAACCACCCTGAACGACTGTTTTTGTCTTAACTACAGAGAAATTTGGAAAAAATGGTGGGATTTCCCTTTAAAGGCCCTTTAGAATCCATTGATATATAAACATTCAGCAGATAAACCTTTATTCTCACTCTAACACAGCAATGAGAAAGTCTGGCTGAGACACTCCTGTGAGCTCTCTGTCTCTCACACAGGTGATAACGTACACAGGTAAACAGGTGCGAGTCTGGCGAGGCGGCTCATGGCGTTGGCTGCCTCCAGCTGCCCCCAGTCCCTCAGCAGGATGTAGAAAATATTATTCTTAGATCCAGAACCCAGAGTTCCTTTATCCATACTGCCACACAGCAGCTCACTGTTCTGTATCACCACAACTACAGAGACAGAGAGAGAGAGAGAGAGTCATTACTTTCAGTTTCAAAAGTTTGAAATCAATGTCTTACAGAAGATTATATACACATACATGTATATAAATGCGTATGCATATATTATATATCTACACCGATCAGGCATAACACTCTGACCACCTCCTTGTTTCTACGCTCATTGTCCATTTTATCAGCTCCACTTACTATATAGGTGCACTTTGTAGTTCTACAGTTACAGACTGTAGTCCATCTGTTTCTCTGATACTTTGTTAGCCCCCTTTTACCCTGTTCTTCAGTGGTCAGGACCCCCATGGATCCTCACAGAGCAGGTACTATTTGGGTGGTGGATCATTCTCAGCACTGCAGTAACACTGACGTGGTGGTGGTGTGTTAGTGTGTGTTGCGCTGGTCTGAGTGGATCAGACACAGCAGTTAGTTCCGGTCACGCGAGCTGATTGGTTGAGAAGCGTTCTAACTGTGCTGTTATTTCACCATAACATCACGTTTTTTTTCCACAAACACTATCACTCTGCTGAGACGCCGTTGCTAAGCAACGACTCTGACAGCTGTAGGAGACGCTCAAGACATTTGAATGTTTTTACTTCTTACTTTGCCACAAACAGAAAATGGACACTTTTAAGATCACATTTGACCGACAGCCGATTTGGTCAGACTCTGAAGATGAGACGACACTAAATTCCCAAACTATCAGTTGGTCTGTGTGGAGCTGGAGAACGAACTGCCGGCTGTGCAGCGAGTGGGCGGAGCTCGTTACTCTGACGTAGCAACAAGCTGCTCGTTAAGGAACTATAATTTGGTGAAGGAACTGTGAACATTAAAACATATTAAACGCCGCGTTCACGGCCCAGTTTATTAATTTATTACTGTATTTATTTAACTGTTGTATAAAGCAACAGAACACTCGAGGAGTGTGTTATCGCCAATAACATCACGGCTGTGATTTGCTCGCAGGCACGAGCCAAACACTCCCTCTTGTGTTCTATTGCTTAAACATATATATAAATATGTAACGTGTACACACACACACACACACAGACACAGACACATATATATATACACATATATATATATATATATATATATATATATATATATATATATATATATATATATATATATATATATATATCTTGCTGTTGTCGGAACAAAGCCTCGTACCTAAACTGTTGTCAATTTTCAGTTTTTGTCCATTTGAAAAGAATGTGTTTCTCTGGACAGTCAGAACAGCTATCAGAATCAAAATATAGATCAGCTTGGTTGGATGGACGGATGGTTGGATGGACGGATGGTTGGATGGATGTAAATAAAACTGTAGAAATGTTAGATGTGAAAACTAATCAAAAGAGCTGTAGAAGATTCTAAAATGACTGAGAACAATGTAGAACATCAAGAACGGAGTTCTGATAAAACTAACATCAAAAAGACTTTTTGGGACAAAAATCTAAGAATGTCTTCCTTTGTCTAGTTTATATTTCAATCTACAAGTTATTATTGCATAAAACGTCAAAGCTTACTAATACGACAAAGTGTTTATCAGTAATGATGTACAGTAAGGCTCGTCTCTGTTGGGCCTACATAACTGAACTGTTTCGTGCGCATCAGTGACGCTGTGGTTGTTTTTTCCTCTCTTTTGTGCCCTCTGACCTCTGCGTCAGCATGTACGTTAATGCAGAGGTTTACAGCACCTTAAAGAGCCACGTAAACCACGTGTGAGCTGCATTCAGACTGTAGGGGGCGGAAGCCATTAACCGCTCTATAAAATGTAAATTAGTTCCTGTGAAGCCAAAGGCAACAAAACCTAAAGAAGCTCAAACACTCGTAGGGTCTCAGTTTGCAGGGCTGTGACTTTTGAAGGGTCTATTTCTCGTCACCGTCCCTTTTCGAAAGAACCTGGAGGATCCTTAAAATGCGGCTGAGAAGTGGGACCTTCTTTCAGCTGAATTCTGAGGATTGCATCCTTCTCAGCACTGAGATCCCATGAGCCTCTGCGCTGCAAGCTACTACAACAAAGCAGCAAAGTACGCTCGATGTTTTCAAGCGCATGTTGTTTTTAAATGCATGTTGTTTTTAAGCGCATGTTTTTAAGCGCATGTTGTTTTTAAGCGCATGTTGTTTTTAAGCGCATGTTGTTTTTAAGCGCATGTTGTTTTTAAGCGCATGTTGTTTTTAAACGCGTGTTGTTTTTAACCGCGTGTTGTTTTTAAGCGTGTGTTGTTTTTAAGCGTGTTGTTTTTTAAGCGCATGTTTTTAAATGCATGTTCTTTTTAAGCGCATGTTGTTTTTAAATGCATGTTGTTTTTAAGCGTGTGTTGTTTTTAAACGCATGTTGTTTTTAAGCGCATGTTGTTTTTAAATGCATGTTGTTTTTAAGCGTGTGTTGTTTTTAAGCGTGTTGTTTTTAAGCGTGTGTTGTTTTTAAGCGTGTTGTTTTTAAAGCGCATGTTTTTAAATGCATGTTCTTTTTAAGTGCATGTTGTTTTTAAATGCATGTTGTTTTTAAGCGTGTGTTGTTTTTAAGCGCGTGTTGTTTTTTAAGCGCATGTTTTTAAATGCATGTTGTTTTTAAGCGTGTGTTGTTTTTAAGCGCGTGTTGTTTTTAAATGCATGTTGTTTTTAAGCGCGTGTTGTTTTTTAAGCGCATGTTTTTAAATGCATGTTGTTTTTAAGCGTGTGTTGTTTTTAAGCGCGTGTTGTTTTTAAATGCATGTTGTTTTTAAGCGCGTGTTGTTTTTTAAGCGCATGTTTTTAAATGCATGTTGTTTTTAAGCGTGTGTTGTTTTTTAAGCGCATGTTTTTAAGCGCGTGTTGTTTTTAAGCGCGTGTTGTTTTTAAGCGCGTGTTGTTTTTTAAGCGCATGTTTTTAAATGCATGTTGTTTTTAAGCGTGTGTTGTTTTTTAAGCGCGTGTTGTTTTTAAATGCATGTTGTTTTTAAGCGCGTGTTGTTTTTAAGCGTGTGTTGTTTTTAAACGCATGTTGTTTTTAAGCGTGTGTTGTTTTTTAAGCGCATGTTTTTAAATGCATGTTCTTTTTAAGCGCATGTTGTTTTTAAATGCGTGTTGTTTTTAAGCGTGTGTTGTTTTTAAGCGTGTGTTGTTTTTTAAGCGCATGTTTTTAAATGCATGTTCTTTTTAAGCGCATGTTGTTTTTAAGCGTGTGTTGTTTTTAAGCGTGTGTTGTTTTTAAGCGTGTTGTTTTTTAAGCGCATGTTTTTAAATGCATGTTGTTTTTAAGCGCATGTTGTTTTTAAATGCATGTTGTTTTTAAGCGCATGTTTTTAAGCGCATGTTGTTTTTAAGCGCATGTTTTTAAGCGCATGTTTTTAAACGCATGTTGTTTTTAAGCGCATGTTTTTAAATGCATGTTGTTTTTAAGCGCATGTTGTTTTTAAATGCATGTTGTTTTTAAGCGTGTGTTGTTTTTTAAGCGCATGTTTTTAAATGCATGTTCTTTTTAAGCGCGTGTTGTTTTTAAGCGTGTGTTGTTTTTAAGCGTGTGTTGTTTTTAAGCGTGTTGTTTTTAAGCGCATGTTTTTAAATGCATGTTGTTTTTAAGCGCATGTTGTTTTTAAGCGCGTGTTGTTTTTAAGCGCATGTTTTTAAATGCATGTTGTTTTTAAGCGCATGTTGTTTTTAAATGCATGTTGTTTTTAAGCGCATGTTGTTTTTAAATGCATGTTGTTTTTAAGCGCATGTTTTTAAACGCATGTTGTTTTTAAGCGCATGTTTTTAAACGCATGTTGTTTTTAAATGCATGTTGTTTTTAAACGCATGTTGTTTTTAAACGCATGTTGCTTCCAATAGTTTGTGAAAATCAGTACCGGCTGCAGAAGACGTTAGTGCCCTGTCGTAATATAGACAGCCAGCTATATTCTTAGCACTGATGTGTAAAATTGTCAGCATCTCAATTTCACCTCCGTTAAGTACGTAAAGGGTTAATACTTAAGCGAAGTAGCGAAGGAGCTCTTAATAAAACACAACAGCCAAAAGCAGCTAAGGCCCGATTCACACACACTGCGTCTGCGCGGTGTGAGCGACACAGAAAGTCATGCTTTTCCATTTCAACGTCCATATTAACTGGTCAGCGCTTTCACGCAGGCTGAGCAGGCGAAGCGGCAGAGCGTCCCAGCAGTGTTTAGAATCAGAATCAAGCTTTATTGGCCAGGTTTGTTTACACAAACAAGGAATTTGGTTTTGGTTACAGGAGCTCACAGTGCAGAGTATCAGATAGACGTTCACATGTAGTAAATAAAATAAAAATAAAATAAAATAATAAAATAAAATAAAATAAAACAGAACAAGCATTCCTACCACTCACTCACTCATACACACACACACACACACACACACACACAGAGTCATACCTGTAAACCTTACAATGTGCAAAGTATGAGTCTTTAGTTAAAGTGCTGAGTGCAGCAGCAGTTAAAGGGTGTACAGTGGCAGAGAAAGGGATCAGTGGGGCATCAGTCAGATACGTGGGGGTAATAAGGCAGGTAAGTGAGGTGCTAGAAGAAACACTGGTCTGTGACGGTGGTTTCAGAGGATGGACTGTTGAGTGTGATAACATACCCAATATATTTAGAAGTGTAGTTTAGAAGCTGAAATATTGTTTATGTGTAATATTTTTAATTGCTTAAGAGAGTGATGGCTCTCACACAGCACAATACACTGAAATTAGCAATGAAAATCACTAGAAATTAAACAGAAAACTACACAAACTTAAAAATGCTATTAATTTAATTCATGACGAAATACTAGATAACATTCCGTACAGCAGACAGATTTCCCAGTTGGTCTACCAGGCTTGAAACGTTTACCTAATCAGAAGTCAGAATGCGGTCGAGGATAAACAAACATACCGTGCACTTTTATAAATTATATTTTTATTATGCAGAGTGACTGATGTGACGATTTATCCGTCTGGAAACAGGAATGTCTGTATAACTCGCCGCTCCGCTCTGCAGGGCAAACGCTGTAGATATGAAAGGCCAGCACGTTTGAGCTGTAGCGCTCATGCCGCCACATCACTGACGCCATGCAGAAGCAGTATGCGTGAAAAAGGCCTAACGCTACCATCCAAAGCTAAATCTGAACTTGAACCAAGTCACACAGCCGACTGTGAAGCAGCAGCAGACGGGAACGTCACTAACGCTGACTAATCTGTGCGCTGACAGTTCAGCTCCAGTGGAGATTTTGAAGTTAGGAGCAGTTAGGAGCTCATTTTAATCATTTAATTTTAATCGTTTATGTTTTTAAAAAAAATGGAGTGAAAACAAAAACGAAAACGTTAAAATAGTTTCTGATTGGTTAGCATTACTGCTACTGAGTGCTGATTGGTTAGCATTACTGCTACTGAGTGCTGATTGGCTGGCGAGCGGAGCAGCTCATTGGCTGTTCGTGCTCACAGATGTCATGAACGTACATGAAGCACCGTTTTAAACTCCTATAACTCGAGTTTAAAAAAAGTTTTAGCTGCTCTGTGTTCAGGAAATGAATGAATTCTTTTACATTAAACTGTTTAAGCATTTATAAACTATGATTTCGCTCAAATGCTCCTGTGGCATGCGCCTGCTCTGGCGGCCACCATCGTCGGGGCCCGAACACCCAGTGGCGACGAACCTCGGCCAGGCAGCGAGGCCACTCCACTACACCTCACCTTCGACCTGGGCAGCCTCGCTGCATAACAGGGGGCGGGGCCCAGACGGCGGAGCTCGGGACTCGCTCCTTGCCCTGGTGCCTCTCGTTGCCGGCACCGTCGTCGTCTTCCTCCTCCTCCCGCCGTCACTCGGGGGAGCCTGGGCTTTGCGCTCCGCCCCCTCCCCACTCGCGGCTCTCTCCCTGCCGTCCTGGCCGAGGTTTGTCGCCACTGGGTGTTCGGGCCCCGCCTTCCTGCCGGCTCTGACAGCCGTCATCGTCGGGGCCCGGGGGGCGGGCGCATGCTACAGCTCCATATCAACCCATTCATTTTGGACTCGCTCAGGAGCGCCCTCTAGTGTTTGAGAAACCCGGAAGACATTACAGAGTGGTAATTCTCCTCTCTATAATTCTCTGGCTCTACTTAGCAACAGTCACTTAAATGAGACGCACTGAATGTCACCCACTCTGTGGAGAGTGGGCAGAGCTAAACCGCTGTAAGATGAACAAATTGGTGAGGCTAAATCGCTGTAGCCTGAATGGGCGGGGCTTAATCGCTGTAGGCTAAAGGGTGGAGCTAAACTGCTGTAGACTGAATGGGTGGGGTTTAATCACTGTAGGCTGCATGGGTGGAGCTAAACCGCTGTGTGGGCTGAAAGGGTGGAGCTAAACTGCTGTAGACTGAATGGGTGGAGCTAAACTGCTGTAGGCTGGACGAATGGGTGGTCAGTTATGAATATGTTTAGAACCGCGCCCCATGCGTGAGTGCATGCATGTGTGTATGTGATTGTGGGTAAAACTCACAGGAGTCATTGGGGCACAGGTCCTCTCCTTTTCCACAGTACTGTTTTCCTTTGGTCCTCAGGTTGGCTTTAACTGGACAGCTCTTGCTGGGCTTCAGAATCAGACTGAAAATCTGTTTACCCGTCCACAGACACATGGGCTAACAGACACACAGGGGAAAAAAAATTATAATAATCATGAATTATTACGCACTAAGGTCTAAAGTGACTTCAGTCAAACCAGCTTCCCACTGTGTGAACGTTTCAAGGTAAACGGACCAAAAGAAACAGTCCAAAATGACAGAATGCAAAACAAATCTGAATTTAATTCATTACGTAAGTCATCATGTAACTGAGTGACTGCATTTCCATTTTACATAATGTAAATCTAATGTACAGCTAAATAATAATAACTACTGTGGACTTCTAAGGGTTAAACTCCAACAAGGCCACACAGCACTTCTGTTCGTCTTCCTTCTGCACCTACAGGACACCATACTGTGGATAATAAAGGGTTTAAGTGGATAAAGTAAAGGTTTAAGTGTTTTCCTGTTACATTTATATTCATACAGTCATATGGAAATGTTTGGGCTAGGAAAAATTACATGTTCTGTACTCTGTAGTGGACGCGTTACCTTATTTTCACTTCAAACCTTTTCACACGACTGTATGAATATAAGAACTGAATGTATAATAAGATTCAGGATATAAAAACATATGGATACACTATATAGATACTATAGTACACAGATATATTACATGCATAAACATGGGGGGGGCAAGAGAGTGAAAGGAAGAAAAGAAAATATGAAACAGTAGAGGTAAAGAAAAAGAATTTAGAGGGAAAGAAAGCGAGAGAGAGAGAGAAGGTAAACAAAGAGAGAGGGAGTGTAAGAGAAAAGGAACGACACAGAAAAGATAAGACGGAGAGAGAGACAGAAATAGAAAGACGGAGGGGGAGAGAAAAAGAGGGGGGAGGGAGGGAGAGAGAGAGAGAGAGAGAGAGAGAGAGAGAGAGAGAGAGAGAGAGAGAGAGAACAGAGAGAGAGAGAGAGAACAGAGAACAGAGAGAGAGAGAGAGAGAGAGAGAGAGAGAGAGAGAGAGAGAGAGAGAGAGAGTGTTTGGGAGAGAGAGAGTACCTTGATGATAGCTGGGTGAGGGAGACAGACTTTGACTTTTTCATCTTTGCCCACCAGAATGGAGGCGATGATCTGGCAGGCTTTGGCTCGGTCGAAGAACGTGTCCTTCAGAGTGAGCAGATACGCACCTGCAGAAAACAGACGCAGAGAAAGAGCGCCACCTGCTGACTCACATCCTCTAACTCTAAGTTTAAATATATAAGGGAGCAAGCATGTATAAAAATATACACAGGACTTATATCAGGCACAATTATGTGAGTCGGCAAACAATTAAAAAAGGAAATAAAGACAATGTGTAGTTATATGATCCCTATCAGAGTAGCGGCCGAGCCGAGAGCACTAGCTGAGCTATAGGGTGCCTTTATGATCATGATACGAACACTGAAGATTTGTTTAATGCTTCAGTGTTAAAAAAAAGGACAGACTTAAATCTTTACATTCAGCTACTTTGGTTAAACCGTCACTGGACCACTGCCTGAAATACAACGGCTCCAAAAAGTACCGATACTAATCACTAATAAACTTCAATTAATAAAATATTAAAATGCTTAACAAAATGAAGGTGGGTGTTTCTAATAAAGTGGCCAGTGAGTGGAAGCACAAGATAGGTGTTTCTAATAAAGTGGCCAGTGAGTGGAAGCACAAGATAGGTGTTTCTAATAAAGTGGCCATTGGGTGGAAGTAGAAGGTAGGTGTTTCTAATAAAGTGGCCAGTGAGTGGAAGCACAAGACAGGTGTTTCTAATAAAGTGGCCATTGGGTGGAAGTAGAAGGCAGGTGTTTCTAATAAAGTGGCCAGTGAGTGGAAGCACAAGATAGGTGTTTCCAATAAAGTGGCCAGTTAGTAGAAGCACAAGGTAGGTGTTTCCAATAAAGTGGCCAGTTAGTAGAAGCACCAGGTAGGTGTTTCTAATAAAGTGGCCATTGGGTGGAAGTAGAAGGTAGGTGTTTCCAATAAAGTGGCCAGTGAGTGGAAGTACAAGGTAGGTGTTTCTAATAAAGTGGCCAGCGAGAGAGGCAAGCTGTTCACAAAGCCAAAACACACACATACCTGTCAGAAAATCCTGAATAGCAGCGATCAGAGGCTCTCCGTTCCTCGGGGTCACCAGGTTAGCCTTTGTCTGAGAGGGAGACATTAAAACACTGGGTGTAAACAACAATCTGACAGTACAGAACAGCAAACTCAAAGGTTTTCAAGGCTCTTCTGCTGTACAGCTGCAGTTCAAAACAAACACAGAGCCAACTGGAACATTTGCTCCATATCTCATATCTCTCCTTGTCTCTCTCACCCCCATGAGGACGAGCGCCTCAGCCTTGGCCTCCTCCGTCTGCGGCAGGTGAAGATTCATTTCATCTCCGTCAAAGTCAGCGTTATACGGCGTACACACGCACTCGTTAAAGCGGAACGTTCTGTGGGGCTTCACTCGAGCCTGGAGAGGATTAAAAACATCATTAACTCATTAAAATTAACTCAAAATATTGTTTTTTTGGGAAATTAGTGTGTTTTTGTGTCTATTTTATAACATTTTTGCCATATCTGCTTTAATTAGGGCTGTTTAACAATTAAAACAACCAGCCACAATCAGCCGCATTATTTTGAATAGTTAATGATTAGTTTATATTTTCTTATTTGTTCATATCTGACCCTGTTCCATTTTAAAAGCAGTGCATTGTGTCAGAGTTATATGAGTGGACAAAACAAGCTTCATAATAATGTATTTATTACTTTCAATAATTAAATAACATTATTTTTGTCATGTAAATAGTGTGAAAATATGAGGCAATCACATTAAAATCATCTCTTTTTAGAAAAAGACCAAAAATAACACATATAAAGTCGCGTGGAAAGGTTTGGGCACCCCTGGTCAAATTCTATACTGTTGCAGGTTTTCTAAGTGATAGCAAGTGAACACATCTTCTACATAGAACACACTTCTGCACATTTTAATACACAATTACTGTTTATTTACTGAATTTAAAGGGGAATTCATTGTCCATTTTATCAGCTCCACTTACTATATAGGTGCACTTTGTAGTACCCAAATAGTACCTGCTCTGTGGGGGTCCATGGGGGTCCTGACCACTGAAGAACAGGGTAAAAGGGGGCTAAAAAAGTATCAGAGAAACAGATGGACTACAGTCTGTAACTGTAGAACTACAAAGTGCACCTATATAGTAAGTGGAGCTGATTAAATGGACAATGAGTGTAGAAACAAGGAGGTGGTCAGAATGTTATGCCTGATCGGTGTGTTTTCACTTAGTAAATCAACATAACATGTCATTTGACCAGGGGTTGCCCAAACGTTCCCTTACGACTGTACCTCCAGTCAGTGAAAAGCAGTTTTAGGACATTATCAGTGCGTTTTGACTCACGATGTGTGCCATGATGCTGAGTTTGTGCAGTGAAGGCTGCCTGTTGAACAGCACGATGTCTCCGTCGATCATGTGTCTCTCCACCACATCGCCCAGCTTCAGCTCCTGAGCCATCTTCTCTCGGTTACCGTACTTCAGAAACCTGTTAATAAAGAACAACCAGAATTCCAAACTCAAATCAAATTACAGATCAGACAGAACAGAACCTTTAGTGCCAAATACAAAATCAGGCCACGTTCACATTACAAGCCTCGCTGCTCAAATCCGATTTTTTGCTCAAATCCGATCTCTCTGGCACGATGGTTCACACTTGTTTAGCTAAGTGATTCTAATCTGTCATTAATGTGACGAACTGGCGTCCTGAAATGACCCTCATGAGCTCATCCTACTCAGTAACGTCACGTGAATGAATCACGTGCATCATCAGCACAAACTAACGAGCAGAACGAGCTTCGCTGAGAAGATCATTAACTCTGATCAGCTCTCAGCTTCATTATTAGAGCGAGACGAAGGAGAAAAAGGTGAGATGAGCTGCTTTTCCACCTTTTACGGGCTTTAACTTCTGTTCGGCGCTGTTGCCATGGTAACGCTGAATGATGGCACAGGCACAGAGGAGAACAAGCACATGAATTCCGATCTGAGCGTCAGATTAAGGTCGCATGGCCACAAATCGGATACGTATCCGATCTAGGACCACATATGAAAGTGCTCAGGTCGGATTTGAAAAGATCAGACTTGCGTGTCACACAGCCCTGAAAACATCCAAAAAATCAGATTTGTGCCACTTCAGCCTGGTAATGTGAACGCAGCCTTAAACAGGCTGCTTTTGTTACTGTGCCTTTAAGACTGACACATGTAAATGAGCTCTGTTCTGACTGGCTGCCCTGTGTTGCACCACGGGGATAAAACACTGTGTGAGGGGGTGGGGCTAAACCGCTGCATGCTGAATAGGCACATATATGTAAATGTGTTGGTTTTAGTGGCATCACAAACACAATGAATTCAAAACAGGCCAATTTTGCAGCTTAGTTTCCATCTACGGACTGAAGAATGAACTGTACACTCCAGAACCTTAATAATGTTCATCACTGTTATTTAACCCTTAGAACCCTAAAATTTCAGGGATTTGTTTTGGTATTTTGGGTCAATTACAAAGTATTTACATGTGACAGTCACATGGACCCTGGGCTACTCAGATATGCCATTATTTGACAAGTAAATGCTAAAAAACTTAACTTCTTCATGAATTTTGATCAAAAAATTACCTAGCACCTTCAAAATGTTGCAATTATTTACTTAGAGATCTTGAAAACAAGCGGGATTGAAGATATCTTTTCAGAAATGATTTGTGTGTCTGTGAGCTGAAAATGCAAGAACTCTGATGGAGATTCATTCTAGATGCTAATTGGTTTCTATTAAGGTGGCCATGTTTTCTACTGATATTAAGTGCACGAAACTCTGATACACAAAGACAGGCTTTATTTTTAATTGGGTTAAATAAAATAAGCTAAAACACATGCACGAGTTCGCCTTAGCAGCTGTGCACAGCTCTCACCTCTTCATCTGCATGTGCCTCTGCTGGATGAAGTTAGCTCCTGGATGAACATCCGGACCGTTCTTCACCAGCTTCCTCATCAGCTCGATGTTGGCTTTGTTCACCTTAAACACCAGAACAGATCAGTGTGGATGGAGATAAAGCAAGAACCAGCGTTTGGCTAAAGGAGCCAAAAACGTTTAAACATATACAGCACTGTGAAAAAGTCAGAGACCCCCCCCTTAATTTACTTAACATCCAGTCAAAACAGTCATTCTGTTCAAGTTTGAGTGTTTAGTCCAAAGGTCGGCAACATGCGGCTCTTCTACTGCCCTGTTGTGGCTCCACAGCTGAATCAGATTAGTAGGTAAAAATAAAATAATCCTCCTTTACAGTAAAATAAAGCTCTGCTGATCGTTCAACACAGTTTAACAATAAATGGTCTTAAACTCTGGAGTTAATGTAGAACTGCTGATTCACCCTTTAACCCTGAAAATCAGCGCAGACTGCTGGTCACCATAGCAACACAGACAACAGTCTGGCCTTGTTAGTAGCTAACGAAACGGCAAAGAGAAAGATTTAAGACGAACATCGATAATTTAGAGACGAATGGACTTATTTGTGTTTATAATCACTCCAGCTGGTTTCCTGATACGTTTAATCTGCAACAAGAAACTGACAAACACTAAAAGGTCATGAAGCTGAAGTCAGATTCTCATTCAAATTATCCCGTTCCACCTTAAATGGTGCCTGAAGCTGGCGAATGAGAAGCGACTTCAGCCTTGTAGAAAGTCAAACGTTGAGAGACGTTTTACAACAAATTATTCTACTTTTGAGGAAAAGTTTAAATGGTTCTATACAGAACGTTTTTGGCATCGTTCTATATAGCACCCAAAAGCGTTCTTCTATTGTTATGATATCAAGCTTGTAACAATAGAAGAACCCTTCTTGGTGCCATATAGAACCATTTACCATCAATCTGAAGGACCCTTTTATGATGCAAAGACCCCCTTAATCATGCGTAGGGTTCTATACAGAACCATTTTCTTTACTAAACAACCCTTGAAGAACCACCGATTAGCCCACAATCACAGAATTCGCCTTATGTTCTTCTTTGATGTGTCCGTCTCCTTTTCTCAGTGAGGTTCTTCTTGATCAGCTACACATCCTTTCAGACCCACAGCGCTGAGTCGTCTTCTCACAGTGGAAGGATGGACAGAAACACCTGTGGATGTTTTCAGATCTGAAGCAGCTTGATTTTCTCCTCTCTCTCAGAGATGAAAGCTTTAAGTGCTGGTTATCTGATGGGGGCAGTTTTGGGGTCGACCTGGTCTTCCAGGTGGTTGTTAGGAGCCCCATTTTCTCTGTAGCTTTTAACCAGTTTTTAAACTCCAGTTTTAGAAAAACTAAATAGTGTTAGGAAGTTAAATAACTGAAGGGTGGTCTCTGACTTTTGCAGTGCTGTTGATCCACACAGTCATTCTGACAGACTGTAGTACACTACAGGAAGTCTAGGGGGCGATATGGCTTCTACTGTTTCATTTAAAAAGCCTCTATAATGTTCATACGATCCACACAGTCACTCTGACAGACTGCAATACACTACAGGAAGGGTAGGGGGCGATATGGCTTCTACTGTTTCATTTAAAAAGCTCTATAATGTTCATATGATCCACACAGTCACTCTGACAGACTGCAATACACTACAGGAAGGGTAGGGGGCGATATGGCTCACCTTCTCTGGGTAGGTGAGAATTTTGGCCACGTGAACCGGTACAGCCACCTCGTCGATCCTCAGGTTTGGGTCAGGAGAGATGACCGTTCGTCCGGAGAAATCTACTCTCTTTCCGGACAGGTTACCACGGAAACGACCTGGACACGAAGGTTAGATTAAAAATAAACTGAACCTTCCCAGCATCATAAAGCAGTGTGCAGTCAGCACCACTAACTGGTGGGGTATAAACCTTCATCACTTCACTTGGCTGGTCAACTACATTCGGGATAAAGGGCGGGGGGGGCGCGGGGGCTACCAGTGTGATTTCCTGTCAAATTATCACTTGTATAATATCTGATGTCTGACAGCTGTTTTGCAGCTCATCAATGTACTTTTCACCACATTTTAATCACAGTCGACTGAATCTGCTCCTTCACCTTGTTTCCCCTTCAGCCTCTGTACGAAGCCTCGCGTCCACTTCTTGGGCGCCATGTTGAGGGGGATGCCGGACAGCTCGCTGTTGATGTAGAGGGCGCACTGCAGCTGGAGGAAATCCCAGTCCTCCATAATCATCTGAGTCTTAGCCCCGGACATACGGTGCTGAGGGAGGGAGGAAAGGCGATAAAGCAGCGATTACAGCAGGGCAGAACCACAACACGGCACTGTCTGGGCTTTTTCCTGCACCAATACACCAAACCTGTATCATAAAGAGTGTAATAACCACCTGGGGAGATCAATCAGGTGTGGTGGAGCAGAAAGACACTAAATCGTGCCATGAACAGACTCCACACTGACAGAGAACATCACTCAGGACCCTGGTGTGGCTCCGATAAGAGTTTAACCTCTTCAACTCCTCGGGACCACCGGTGGTTCCAAAATGCACTTCGTCATATTCTTCATAACTTTCATATTTCATAAGCTACATTCTAAAGGTGGGGGTCGTATGAGAGCTGTAACTGTCTTCTTTCCAGTCAAATAGATGGGTGATGTAATTTAAAACCCTTATAATAAAAGAAGCTGAACTCAGTTTTTTGTCTACTGAAAGTCGACCCATTTTTCCACAAATCTGGGCTATAAACTATAAACAGATGGCGTCTCTTCAGTGATCTGCTCTGTAAACATTATTATTATAAAATAATACAAAGAGCGTTTAAGATTTTTGGCTTCCAGCAGTAAATTATAAGCATATAGCAATATGTGTGATCATAAAACACGTTCTGTTCATTTGAGGGGAGTTTTACAAAAAAATAAATGAATAAATAAAAATTTTTACAGTTATTTCATGCAGTTACTGAATAATTCGCCTTACGATTTGGTCATGAAAATTCAGATGGACAAACCAGAAAATACCCTGGAGAATAAGAGGTTAATCACTATTCTGCACACAATATTACGCTGTTATGCTATTTTATGAGCCATGATTCTACCCCTGTCCCTTGTTGCTCCCTCAGTGCGCTTTATTATATGCTGTCTGTAGGACAAAATAGCTGCAGCCCAAGAACGTCACTGCAATTTTAATAGAGATGAAAAAGATTAATCGTTTTTATATCAAAATCGTAATTTAGCTCTGTGCAATTTTCAAATCACAAGAGCTGCAGTTTTTAAAATTATAGCCTAAATAAAAGACGACTCTTCAAGGATTCTCTAGTAAAGAAAATGATAGAACCATGAACACTCAAAGAACCCTGTACATGATTACTAAATGGCTCTTCAGATAGATGGAGAATGTGCTTTAGATGGTTCTATATAGAACCTTTTTGAAAAGGATTCTGTAGCACCAAAAAGGGTTCTTCTATTGTTACACGGTTCACATCGTAACAATAGAAGAACCATTTCAGGTGCTATATAGAAAATCTGTTTTAAAAAAGGTTCTATATAGAATTAGACACCTTCTCCATCGATCTGAAGAACCCTTTCACCATGCAAGAAACCCTTTAATCATGCAAAGGAGTCTTTGAATGTTTATGGTTCTGCATAGAACCATTTTCTTTACTAAAGAACCCTTGAAGAACCATCAATTTCAAGTGTGTAGAGAGAGGAAAAGCCAATCCAGCCACCATAACAAAGCTACAACCTCACCTGTATATCTACAGCCCACTGGTTTTAGTGCCTGATCAGTAGATTTTTTAAGCAGTGATTTATTATATTTCTATCCTGCTTTTCCATTCAAACTTTGCTGGATGTTTAAAATTCAATTTTAGTACCATACAAACACTCTTACACACCGAACAGGCATGACATTCTGACCACCTCCTTGTTTCTACACTCATTGTCCATTTTATCAGCTCCACTTACTATATAGGGGCACTTTGTAGTTCTACAGTTACAGACTGTAGTCCATCTGTTTCTCTGATACTTTGTTAGCCCCCTTTTACCCTGTTCTTCAGTGGTCAGGACCCCCATGGACCCTCACAGAGCAGGTACTATTTGGGTGGTGGATCATTCTCAGCACTGCAGTAACACTGACGTGGTGGTGGTGTGTTAGCGTGTGTTGTGCTGGTGTGAGTGGATCAGACACAGCAGTGCTGCTGGAGTTTTTAAACACTGTGTCCACTCACTGTCCACTCTATTAGACACTCCTACCTTGTCGGTCCACCTTGTAGATGTAAAGTCAGAGTCGATAGCTCATCTGCTGCTGCACAGTTTGTGTTGGTCATCCTCTAGTCCTTCATCAGTGGTCACAGGACGCTGCCCACAGGACGCTGTTGGCTGGATATTTTTGGTTGGTGGACTATTCTCAGTCCAGCAGTGACACTGAGGTGTTTGAAAGCTCCAGCAGCACTGCTGTGTCTGATCCACTCAGACCAGCACAACACACACTAACACACCACCACCACGTCAGTGTTACTGCAGTGCTGAGAATGACCCACCACCCAAATAATACCTGCTCTGTGAGGGTCCATGGGGGTCCTGACCACTGAAGAACAGGGTAAAAGGGGGCTAACAAAGTATCAGAGAAACAGATGGACTACAGTCTGTAACTGTAGAACTACAAAGTGCACCTATATAGTAAGTGGAGTTGATAAAATGGACAGTGAGTGTAGAAACAAGGAGGTGGTCATTAGGTTATGCCTGATTGGTGTATAATACACTGTGTTCCCTGAGACTTTTAAGCTGTGAGTGTTCTCCATCCCTGGTCCTGGAGAACCCAATACTCTGCAAACTTTATGGTTTTCTCTGCTCCCCACACACCTGACCCAACCAATCAGCACATTAACGGCCCCTTACTGAGCCGAAGTGAATCTATTAGAGCAGGAAAACGCTGTGGATCCTCCAGAATGAGGAACCTGGGATCCTAACTTATACAACTAGCATAGCATAAAAAGCCTGAGCTGTGTTGGCTTTGCAGACCTTTTTAATGACGTCGTTGAGGAAGATGATCTCCGTGAGCTTCATGGTGAGGTCGTCCTCGTTGGTGCCTGACTTGAGGTCGCTGACGACAGAAGGGCGGATGCAGAGAGGCGGGACGAGGAGGCGGGTCAGAATGAGGTCGGCAGGTTTACCTGCCTCAGGGTTCATCAGGAGCAGAGGAACATCCTCATTAGGAATCCTCCGGAAAAGATTCAGAACCACCAGAGGGTTCAGGTTCTCCTACAGAACAGAGAGAGAGAGAGAAAGAGAATCAGTACTCTGAAATCCTCTCAAGGCTCCGCCCACTAATGCTTTCATTGGTCGTTAATGTTGTGAGGTGGGACAAGCTTTACAGAACACTGGTAAAAATACCACTCAACCTGTGGCACGCAACTCCTACATAGCTAACTCTAGAGTGTGTCATTGTTTTCATCATCATCATCATCATCTTAAACCTTCCGATGCAACTCAAGTCAAAGTTTATTTATACAGCACTTTTTACAACGTTGTCGCAAAGCAGCTTTACAGAAAAATCCGGGTCTGAACCCCCATGAGCGTCGCCAATAGCGACAGTGGCAAGGAAAAACTCCCTAAAAGCAAAACGAAAAAACACTGAGAGGAACCAAGACCCAGAAGGGGAACCCATCCCCCTCTGGTCCACTAGGAACTAGGGTTGCAATAGGGCAGTAGGGTAAGCAGAGAAGCCCAGGCGCCTCTGTTCCCTGCAACTTCCTCCAGCTCATTCCGGGGGATCCCGAGCCGCTCCCAGGCCAGCATGGAGGTATAATCCCTCCAGCGGGTCCCGAAGTCGTCCCAGTTGACTCAGATGCTCGGACCACCTCAACTGGCTCCTCTCAACGTGGAGGAGTAGCAGCTCTACTCTGAGCTCCTCACCCTATCAAGTAAGTGTGGCCCACCACCCTGTGAAGAAAGCTTATTTTTGCTGCCTGTATCGGCGATTTCATTCTTTCAGTCATTACCCATAGTTCATGACTATAAATAAGGGTGGGGATTGAAGGAATCTACCGTTGTGTAATGTGTTTAGTGCTGCATTACACATTATTACATGCAGTATTTTGTGTGTATGTGCCGTAGCTGTATTTAGGCTGCCTATTTTTGTTTATCCCTATGTGGTCATGTCTGTCACACCTGTCTCTTGTCAGGTATAGACTGGGTCTAATCTTGGCATCAGTCTAGCTATAAAACTGTGTCAGTCCATTGTTTTACAGGCTGGCTAGGTGTCTTGGCACCTGCACGCAAGAAGTACACTTCAATTCTTCAGACTTCAGGCTTGCTCCCTGGTTTGGGACTGGTTTGGATTCTTCAGGATATAGTCATTTATTTCAAATAATTTGTATTATTAACATAAATTTAATATGAACTTTGTTTTTTGGGTTTATTTTTTACTGTGGTTGAAAAGTCAAACTCAAAAACGCATTTGTGGGTGGAGCACAGATTGGTCAATTCCAGGTAACACAGGTAAAGGCAGGTAAACTCAAGTGAACAAAGGTAAACCCAGGTAATTTCAAGAAATCTAAGCAGAGTCAAACCAAAGTGAGCTCAGGTGAACCCAGGTCAGCACAGGTATCTGGGAGATTCAAGTAAACCCAGGGAAAGCTCAGACTGACCCAGGTGAGCTCAGATAAACTCAGACAAGCTCAGAGCTGCTCACCTGTGCCCTGCTCAGCAGAGACTCCACCTCCTTGTTGTGTTCGACGGCGATGTCGAAGGACTGCAGGAAGTCGGAGACGATGGGGTCCACGACCTTTTTAGTCGTCTTATACTTTTCATGGATGATCTTCAGTAAGCCACACTTCTTTACCGGACCTGCCGGAGACACGAGGGTCAGAAGAGAAAATCAAAAAAATGCCAATTTAAACAAAAAAATTAACAGAAGGTGTTTGTCCCCAATTCTTTGATGGGGAGTATATGTAAAATGTTCACCCACCAGGCATAACATTATGACCACCTCCTTGTTTCTACACTCATTGTCCACTTTATCAGCTCCACTTACTATATAGGTGCACTTTGTAGTTCTACAGTTACAGACTGTAGTCCATCTGTTTCTCTGATACTTTGTTAGCCCCCTTTTACCCTGTTCTTCAGTGGTCAGGACCCCCATGGACCCTCACAGAGTAGGTACTATTTGGGTGGTGGATCATTCTCAGCACTGCATTAACACTGATGTCGTGGTGGTGTGTTAGTGTGTGTTGCGCTGGTCTGAGTGGATCAGACACAGCAGTGCTGCTGGAGTTTTTAAACACTGTGTCCACTCACTGTCCACTCTATTAGACACTCCTACCTTGTCAGTCCACCTTGTGGATGTAGAGTCAGAGACGATAGCTCATCTGATGCTGCACAGTTTGTGTTGGTCATCCTCTAGTCCTTCATCAGGACGCTGCCCACAGGACGCTGCCCACAGGACGCTGTTGGCTGGATATTTTTGGTTGGTGGACTATTCTCAGTCCAGCAGTGAGCACTGCTGTCTCTGATCCACTCAGACCAGTGCAACACACACTAACACACCACCACCACGTCAGTGTTACTGCAGTGCTGAGAATGACCCACCACCCAAATAGTACCTGCTCTGTGAGGGTCCATGGGGGTCCTGACCACTGAAGAACAGGGTAAAAGGGGGCTAACAAAGTATCAGAGAAACAGATGGACTACAGTCTGTAACTGTAGAACTACAAAGTGCACCTATATAGTAAGTGGAGCTGATAAAATGGACAATGAGTGTAGAAACAAGGAGGTGGTCATAATGTTATGCCTGATCTGTATAGATATACAATGATGAGAAAAAGACAAAGAAAATTCAAAAATAAAATGTACGTTTGCCAGTAAAAACTATATGTAACATCAAGATAAATACAAATAAGCATGCAGAAAGAATGTGATGTTTATGAATAAGTCTGTTTGAGAATGTACCGTTGAAGGCGTTGCAGTATAAGCAGACGGTTCTCTTCCTGCACTTGTCAGATATTTTCTTCTTCAGGCCGCGTTTCTGCAGGTAGGCGAGTCCAGGTCGGCGCAGATAATCCAGAAACTGCTGCCTCTCCTCCTTACTCAGCATAATCCGAGAACACGTCTTACAGATCATCTACAGCAGAGAGAGAAACACAGAAAATATTCAGTCAACTCCAATACATACCTGAAAACACAACGTTAAGTGTATAAAAATATATTAAAATATACTGGTCGGGGTGTGTATGTATATTTACACACAAACACAGACACATCATTAAGACCACCTCCTTGTTTCTACACTCATTGTCCATTTTATCAGCTCCACTGACCATATAGTTTCATTTACAGTTATAGACTGTAGTCCATCTGTTTCATACTTTGTTAACCTGTTCTTCAGTGGTCAGGACCCCCATGGACCCTCACAGAGCAGATACTATTTGGGTGGTGGATCATTCTCAGCACTGCAGTAACACTGACGTGGTGGTGGTGTGTTGATGTGTGTTGTGCTGGTGCGAGTGGATCAGACACAGAAGTGCTGCTGGAGTTTTTAAACACTGTGTCCACTCACTGTCCACTCTATTAGACACTCCTACCTTGTCAGTCCACCTTGTAGATGTAAAGTCAGAGACGATAGCTCATCTGCTGCTGCACAGTTTGTGCTGGTCATCCTCTAGTCCTTCATCAGTGGTCACAGGACGCTGCCCTCAGGACGCTGTTGGCTGGATATTTTTGGTTGGTGGACTATTCTCAGTCCAGCAGTGACACTGAGGTGTTTAAAAACTCCAGCAGCTCTGCTGTGTCTGATCCACTCGTACCAGCACAACACACACTAACACACCACCACATCAGTGTTACTGCAGTCCTGAGAACGATCCACCACCCAAATAGTACCTGCTCTGTGAGGGTCCATGGGGGTCCTGACCACTGAAGAACAGGGTAGCTGCTGTAGTGTTTTCGTGAAGCTCATTCTCAGTGTTAGGTAAACTCACCTGCAGGATGCCAATGGTGGCTTTGAAGTAGCCGATATGGAAGCAGGGCAGCTCCAGGTCCAGGTAACCATAGTGACCAAGACAGTCAGCTAAGTTCTTCCCGCAGGTCTCACAGGGCCGGTCCTTCTCACTGGTGCCCTGACGGAGAAGAAGAGAGAGAGAAAAAACAGAAACATAAACCAAAGACTTAATTTTATTTGTTAAACATTTTACTTCAAGTAAAGGCAAGCAAAGGTGCATCGCGAGGCCCAGGTAAGCCAAGTGAGGTGAGGTGCGTTGCGAGGCTCTGGTCAGCCAGGTGAGGTGAGTAGCGAGGCCCAGGTAAGCCAAGTGAGGTGAGGTGCGTTGCGAGGCTTTGGTAAGCCAGGTGAGGTGAGTTACAAGGCTCAGGTAAACTCAGAGAGGTGTTTCAAGCGTACCATGCGGTGGTCCAGCACTCCGTAGGCCAGTGGTGTGTGGCTGGTGTCCTGGCTATACAGGTTCTTACTGACCACCTGTATATGAGCCTGCTGACGCATCTGCTCTGCCGACTTCATACCGAAACAGATGTGGCTTCTGAAGAGACACAAAAAACAGAGAAAATGTCGGCATAAGACATATGATAAATACATAACACTATGTATATGTGTGTGTGTATTATATATATATATATATATATATATATATATATATATATATATATATATATATATATATATATATACACAAACATACATACACATACATATATACAGTCAAGCCTTTTCAAAAAAGGCATCACACTTGACATGACTGGGTATAAAAGAGCATCTCAGAGAGGCGGAGTCTTTCAGAAGTAAAGATGAGGAGGGGTTCACCACTCTGTGAAAGACTGCATGATCAAATAGTGCAACAATTCAAGAATAATGTTTCTCAACATAAAATAGCAAAGAACTTTTGTTTTTCATCATCTACGGTACAAAATATCATTAAAAGATTCAGAGAATCTGGAGAAATCTCTGTATGTGAGGGACAAGACCAAAAACCAGTATTTGCTGGCCGTGATCTTTGGGCCCTCAGGCAGCACTGCATTAAAAACAGACATGATTCTGTAGTGGAAATCACTGCATGGGCTCAGAAACACTTCTGAAAACCACTGTCTGTGAAAACAGTTCATCACTGCATCCACAAATGCAGGCTAAAACTCCATGCAAAAAAGACACCATATATAAACAGGATCCAGAAATGCTGCCACTTTCTCTGGGCCAGAGCTCATTTAAGATGGACTGAGGTGAAGTGGAAAAGTGTCCTGTGGTCTGACAAACGAAAAATTTGCAATTCTTTCTGGAAATCATGGACACTGCATCCTCTGGGTAAAAGACAAGTACAAATATCTTTGTACTATATTAATTTAAATATACTAATCATTTAAACTGTACATCTTTGCATTCTATTATTATTTACATTTTGCACAGCATTCCAACTTTTTTGGAAATAGGGTTGTGTATGTGTGTATAGAAACAAAATATACATACACACGTAAACATAATATAAACAAAAATACACACATACTGACTGGAAACTTCATTAAAACCACCTCTTGTATCTACACTGTCCATTTTATCAGCTCCACTGACCATATAGTTTCACTTTGTAGTTCTACAGTTACAGACTGTAGTCCATCTGTTTCTCTGATACTTTGTTAGCCCTCTTTTACCCTGTTCTTCAGTGGTCAGGACCCCCATGGACCCTCACAGAGCAGGTACTATTTGGGTGGTGGGTCATTCTCAGCACTGCAGTAACACTGACGTGGTGGTGGTGTGTTAGTGTGTGTTGTGCTGGTGCGAGTGGATCAGACACAGCAGCGCTGCTGGAGTTTTTAATCACTGCCCACTCAATTAGACACTCCTACCTTGGATGCTTTTGATTGGTGGACTGATCCACTCGTACACACCACCACTACGAGTGATCATCATGCCAGAGAGACTGTGATGATATTTAATAAAACTTTTAATACTTTTGGCAGTGAAGTTATTTGACACCAGTGGTTTCTTCATTTTAGACACATAAAAAACAACTAACACTGGTTTGTTTATGTTATTGTAATATCTCACATTAAAGATGATGGCCTAAAAAGTGGACTGCAGTGTCTTTGGTCTTCATGTGGCCACACAAACATGAACACCACACTCCAACTGCAGTTATAGACCGTGGCCATTGCACCACGACTCCACAAGCTGGAGCAAAACTGTGGTCAGAAAGCCACTATTCCAGAGTTAATTCGGTGTGGACAGTAGAGGCTGAGCTGTAGCACCATGTGTAGCCACATATGGCCCATCAGACCAGCAGTGAAGCACTAAAAAGCTCTAAAAAGCTGACATTGAAGAAACTAAAGAGTGCAAAGACCTTTTCATAGTGAATCAGCAGTGGTGGACAATAACTAAGTGTAATTCGTTGCTGTACTTAAGTAGTTTTTTCGTGTATCTGTACTGAATTATTTCCATTTTGGGCGACTTTTTACTTTCACTCCACCACATTTCAAAGTCAAATATCTCACTTTTTACTCCACATTATGAGAAATCTGTCGCTCCTTTTGGTTTATGTGTGTATAAAAACGTAACATGTCAAAACAAAAGAAGTGTGAAGTAAGAACACCAATCAGGGCACAGCGGTCACTTTGTTTTGAGCTTGTTTTGACCTGTTGGTCATACCGACCCAGTGCAGCACACGGTTCAACATCAGTGCAGCAGCGTAAAATTTTGGGAGAGTCTATTCAACATAAATGATGAACTAACCTAACTTTATTCTGAATTTATATAAACATTATTTCATTTTATAGTAAATTAGTTTAGGCTAGTTTATGTTTATGAACAGAGACCTACAGATGCAGTTTAGTAAAGGAAACTCATTTGAGAATCTGAGTTTAAAGTTTTTATTAAACTTAAACTTGCAAATGAATCTTAAACTGAAACTTTGCTTGTTTGTAAAAGTGATTTCAGAGCCACTCAGTTCTACCTGATGGAAACTGTTTGCCTTCAGTGTTTTGTGCTGATGATAATTTTAATAGACATCAGCGTCACTAATTAATGACTCTATTAAAAGACTGGTTTACCAAGAGAGACACTGGACTTTCACCTAAACTGAGTTAATGAAGCGAGTCTTGTTACAAAAATGATAACAGGACATTAAAGCCATAATTAATCTTTTAGTACTTTTACTTTAGATACTTAAGTACATTTGAAGGCAAATACTTTTGTACTTTTACTCAAGTGGAGATCTAAAGAGAGGAACTTCTACTTTTAATGGAGTAATATTTTACCTTGGGTATCTCTACTTTAACTCAAGTACATACTTTAACTTCGTCCACCACTGTGAATCAGTGAAACAAATCAGACTACATGACTTACTGGCACTGAGTTATTACACAAAAACTATTAATTAGTCAAGCAAACACAAGCAGAGACTCAGTTAGTGGCCTTTGCTCACCAGAACTGCTCTAAACTGCAGCCTGCTTTAACTATATATATATATATATATACATATATACATATACATACACACACACACACACACACACACACATATATACATATATACATACATATATACATGTTTACATATACGTATACACACACACACATATTATACACACACATATATTTGTGTGTTTATACATTCAAAACTCCACATGGTGTAACTACGAGAGATGCATTCACAGCAAGGAAATAAAGACAATAACGCGTTTATGAAGCAGCGTGTCTGCTGCATTGCTAACGAAGCTGAACTTGGCGTCTCACTTTAATTTTCCGTTCCACCTTAAATTTTACAACTGTGGCAATGGGGCGCCTGTGCGGGCTCCAGGTCCTAACCAATGCACGTTTTAAGGTGGAACGGAAAATTCGAGTGAGGGGTTTTCGCTGCTTCTCTCATGAATAAACACTGAATAACTTACATCTTTTTGGCCACATCCGTCTCCCTAAACTGCTCCTTCACCATCCTGGCGGCTTTACAGGCTCAAATTCAGAAAACTAAAGCGCAAAATATGAACTCGAATGTGAGGAATATGAGAAAACATGAGGAAAGAGCCTCACGCCGACTCCATGCACACGGGTCTGGAGCTACTCTTCAAAATAAAAGCTTCCACAGGCCAGTGCAAATAGGAAGGATAGAGAATGTAGTATAAGATAAACATGAAAAAAATGCATTATTTACATAATTATTAAATTAATGCAGTAGTCAAATTACAAATATTTTGTTTTTTTAACAAAAAGAACTGAATTGAGAAAGACTTTCAGTCATGGTTCTGTGTGTTACTGTTTTATTTTAACTTCACTGTTATTGTTTTCAAATAACACAAATTACAGTTCTGTTATTTACGATTATTTATTTTTTTTATCACTGTTTTTACATTATTTATTCATTTCTCTAATTCAAAGAGACTTTTATCATAGCGGATGGTCAGAAAAACCAAACAGCAGCGTTTGGCGGCGTGTTTCAAAATAAAAGCTCAGAAGAAAAACGCTATGTTCTGTTAAACGGACGCATGAAGGATAACTAACATTCTGTTTATTTAATATAGGGGTCTTGAGTACTTTACAGTTTAGATATGATAACGTGAAGATTTTTAAAAGTGAATTACAGGAACGTAGTTTGCCGTTTATCATCTACAAAAGTGTAATATGCAAATTGACCGCCAGATGGAGGTGTTTAGCCACTAATTTACAGATGCAACGCCATCCGTTGTTATTAAAGATTTTAAATTACTTTTATTTTAATATAATTTGTGTGTATCACAGTATTGTCAGAAAAATCTCATCAGCACATCAATGATTGCTTTGTTTCCAAAAAAATAAAAAGCAGAAATGGTGCATGTGTGACCTATACACACACACTGCAATGTATTTTATTTGTATTTGTAATTTTGTTTATTTATTTATTTATTTATTCATCTACTTATTTATTTGCACAGACAAATTATAGTTGTTTATCGTTTGTCTGATTCCCCTGTGTACATTTAATTCTTTTTTTATCTGCCTTGACATATACTAAACAATTGTCCTGATATATATATATACATATATAATGACCCCTGGATTCTCAACCGAGCAACAGTTTTCATTTTACTGTAAATTATTAATGCAGATGTTCAGCAAACCCATTAAAGATAAGCCTGCATCTGTCTGACTTCTCTATCAAAACACACACTGTATGAAATATTCATATTCCTGCTCGCAGGACAGTTATTTTCAGCACTGCTGAACATTTATTTGAGGTTTCTGACTGAAAGCAGGTCACATATGTGACAGAGCTCAAGAAATAGTGAAGACAAACATAAAATGCAGTTTATATTTAAAAAATCAATTGTCATTTTATGCTGTGTCTCCAGTGGGGCCCAGCAATCAGTCCATGTTTGTAGATAACAGTGAGTCATACGGTGTCAGAAACCACATAATCAAGTCTATTAGAGACACTGAACAGCTCCACACAGTTTGATGATTTAGGCATTGAGGTGACTTAGTGGGGAATCAGCTTCCATTACTTGTTAGCTACAGTAGCCTTATAGCTCCAGTGCTAAAACCAAAGAAGGAAACCTCAGACACCAAACGTGACTCGGCTGATGAGCTACACTGGTGATGGTGATGGTGATGGTGATGGTGATGGTGATGGTGGGGTCGGCACTGTAAACTTTGAAATCACAGATGACTCATGTGATATTTGTCTAGTCTTATTTACCAGCCAATGAAAGAGAGCTACCCACTTGGAAAACCATATGAACATGTATTTTAAGAACACACCGCAGTCCATGCTGAAATACACCTACACATACTGTAGTCCATCTGTTTCTCTGATACTTTGTTAGCCCCCTTTTACCCTGTTCTTCAGTGGGCAGGACCCCCATGGACCCTCACAGAGCAGGTACTATCTGGGTGGTGGATCATTCTCAGCACTGCAGTAACACTGACGTGGTGGTGGTGTGTTAGTGTGTGTTGCGCTGGTCTGAGTGGATCAGACACAGCAGTGCTGCTGGAGTTTTTAAACACCTCAGTGTCACTGCTGGACTGAGAATAGTCCACCAACCAAAAATATCCAGCCAACAGCGTCCTGTGGGCAGCGTCCTGTGACCACTGATGAAGGACTAGAGGATGACCAACACAAACTGTGCAGCAGCAGATGAGCTATCGTCTCTGACTTTACATCTACAAGGTGGACTGAGAAGGTAGGAGTGTCTAATAGAGTGGACGGTGAGTGGACACAGTGTTTTAAAACCCCAGCAGCACTGCTTTGTGTTTTTGTTTGTGTTTCACTCACATCTGTTCCAATGTTTTTATTATTTGATTTGAGCATCATTAAAGACATTAAAGAGCATTTTCAGTCTATGAATAAGCTGAATGACTCTAATGGCCACCCAGAGTGCTGTAGAGCTCCACCGCAGCGCTGTGTTGGTCATCCTCCAGTCCTTCATTAATGGTCACAGGATGCTGCCCACAAGACGCTGTTGGCTGGGTAGTTTTGGTTGGTGGACTATTCTCAGTCCAGCAGTGACACTGAGGTGTTTATAAACTCCAGCAGCACTGCTGTGTCTGATCCACTCAGACCAGCGCAACACACACTAACACACCACCACCACGTCAGTGTTACTGCAGTGCTGAGAATGATCCCACCACCCAAATAGTACCTGCTCTGTGAGGGTCCATGGGGGTCCTGACCACTGAAGAACAGGGTAAAAGGCGGCTAACAAAGTCGGTTCAACCTGAAAAATTACCTCATGTATTAATAAGCATTTGAACCAGTTTGATTCAACTCAAAAAATGACTTTGATTGAAAGAATCGTTCATTCAAAGTTAGGTTAAGTGACCCTTATTAGTCCCACAATGGGGAAATACCACCTCCGCATCCGTACAGTGAACACCACATACACACTAGTGAACACACACACTAGGGGGCAGTGAGGACACTTGCCCGGAGCGGTGGGCAGCCCTATCCACAGCGCACAGGGAGCAGTTGGGGGTTAGGTGTCTTGCTCAAGGGCACCTCAGTCACGTACTGTCAGCTCAGGGGATCGAACCGGCGACCTTCCGGTCACAAGGCTGGTTCCCTAACGTCCAGCCCACGACTGCCCCCATAAAGTATTTATTTAGATTAAATAAAACCAGTTAATTTATCTGTTTTTAGGCTGAACTGATGAGCCATTTTTTACAGTGTATATTTTGACACAAGCAAAACTGTCTTCCAGCAGAAAAAGGCATTTTCTCTGGATAAACTGACCTAAAACAGTTAAAACATCTCAAAATAAGTTGACTAATCTTAGAATATTCCACACTAATCTTCTAAAGAGAGGTATTAGATATGTTTTCTAAGCTTCGTTATTAACCCTCATTAAACAGGTCGCTGCCCACTTCGTCCAGCATGTCAGGGCTACAGTCGAGTACAGCTGACCATGAGAGCGTAGCTCCCGTCTCTGCTTCACCTATTAAAGAAAGCCAATCAGTCTCGTTTGCAGCCTCTCTGTGCGAAAGCTGCTTCTGCTGAGAGGAGCCAATTAATGCAAATGAGCCACTCAGATAAATGAATAACAGCTGATTAACATCTGCTGTGCACTTTAAAGCAGGCAGGGCCTCCATCAGCGGCGTGATTCGCCCGAAACCTCCTCCACGGAGTGTTTCTACAGAATCACAGCCTGCAGTCGGAGGGGTCCACCACTGAGTGTGTTTACATGCAATTAATACTCTGCAGAAAATCAGATTTTGTCAGTTATCTGATCAACACGTTTACATGGAAACTCCGGGTCTACATGAGTCAGACAGTAATCAGATTTCTGCTTTGCAACCAGCCAATAAACCCAGAGAAGAAGACGTTTACCTGAAAATATGAACATACATCATCTAGAAGATGAAGAATATCTAAATCCCTCATTTGGTCAAGCATGTATTTGGTTTCAGCGTCGCTCCAAAAGTGTTTTGCACAGCAAAAAATGGTGTCTTTTCAAGTAAATTTATCTTAAATATAGTCAATAAATCTCCTAATTCTCCTGTTATGAGTGTTGTTAAGCTTAAGTTAAGACTGTTTAACTCATTTCTAGACATTTTTACTTGTTTCAAGTCATTTTATTAAGAAAATTATCTCACTATGTTGGCAGATAATTTAGCTTGTTTTAAGAAATGAGTTTGAAACCAGCGAAATTATCTGCCATTATAGTGACAAAATTTTCTGCAATTAAATCACATAAAACAGGTAAAAATGTCTGGAAATAAATTAGATAATCTTGTATTAAGTGCACAACAATCTCAAAATGGGAAATGTTAGATACATCGGCTAGATTTCATGATCATTTCACTTACAAGAGACCTTTTTTTGGAGTGCTGCGTCTCGCAGCGACGCTGCTCGCTTATTTCCAGTCTGTTTCGGCACATGCTCAGACTGAGAAATCCGAAAAAAATCAGAGTAAGAGTTTACAGCACTGAGAAATCTGATTACTGAGCTAAAAGAGCTCTCTATGAGTGCGTATACATGCACTCAATAATCCGATCAGAATCAGATTTCCTGCAGTTATCTGATTATTCGAATGGTCACGTAAACAGCACACTCTGATTTCTATGAAATCATGTCTAGAAATCTGATTAAGAAAACTCCAGGTCTACATGAGTCAGGCAGTAATCGGATTTCTGCTTTATAACCAGCCAATAAACTCACAGAAGAAATGAGCTAAATCCAGCTCTCTTTGAGTGTGTATACATGCACTCAATAATCCGATCAGAATCGGATTTCTACAGTTATCCGATTATTCAAGTGGTCATGTAAACACCATACTCCGATCTAGAAATCCAATCTAGAAATCTGATTAAGAAATCTGATAAAGTGACCTGGATTTTAGCTCAGTAATCAGATTCCTCAGCGCATGTAAACTCTTACTCTGATTTCTTTCGGATTTCTCAGTCTGCGCATGCGCGAGATCAGACAGTGGATGTCATGAGACGTAGGAAAATACTTTTGGAGCATGAAATGAAGGATTTAAATATTCCTCATCTTCTACATGATGTAAGTTCATATTCTCAGGTAAAGCGGCGCAATGTTTATAAACAAAGCCGCGGTATGAAGTTTGAGTTTTACAT